TACCCAAGAAGACTTGAGGCTGTAATCGCTGCCAAAGGTGCTTCAACAAAGTACTGAGTAAAGGGTCTGAATACTTATGTAAATGTCATATTTCAGTTATTATTTTATTTTTTATACATTTGCAAAAATGTCTAAACCTGTTGCTTTGTCATTATGGAGTATTGTGTGTAGATTGAGGCAAAAAAAAACATTTAATGAATTTTAGAATAAGGTTGTAACTTAACAAAATGTGGAAAAAGTCAATGGGTCTGAATACTTTCCGAATGCTCTGTATCTACAGAAATAAGACAGATCCTGCTTCTGTTAATTGTTTGTTTTTGTTTAATACCATGCTGATTCCGTGAACACCAATTCACAAATGAATGTGACTGTTTTTAGTCTTTGCTGTAATAAAGGCTTAGCAAAAAAACGTTACAACAAACTCTCTGGTACGCTTATAATGTAGTTATTGTTGTTTACGTTGTTCCAAAAGGTCAGAAAATTATATTGTAATCTACGCAGCACCTGTTTGGCACACATAATATGCATGCAGCGCTTGCTCCTTACCTTATTTTTCTTGATCTCCAGTATTTTCCACAATTAGTCAAATTTATTCCACACATCTGACTTCCCCTTTACCTCATGAGCAACCAGTGAAAATTACCCCGTTTCGAGTTTATTTGTCACGTCCTCTGCATCCATTTTGCTGTTATGGTGTTTGGAGTTTGTTATAACCAATTTATTGATGTGATTATGATATGCTATAGGTCAGTTCCTATTAGTCACGTGCAAGAGAGCAGGGGTTGAGGAAATAGGGAATGTTTTTCCGATTTCGGTAGCAGATCTTTTTAGTCAGAAATGGCTGTAATTATGTTGCAGCTTCAGCAACATGGACAGCGTGATAAACACTTTGATGTTCTGTGGTGGTCGCTGCAGCAAGGAGGAGAGAGAGACAACGGGTGCTAGTCACACAGTCACTCGCTGTCTTTTTTTTTTAACACAGCGCAGCATGTCTGAGCCCGGCCCGGCATGGCATAATTAAATCATTTGCTAGTCGGACTCCCTTTAGTCATTTATGTGTCTTAATTATTTAATCAAACCGTGTGCTTAAAGCATCAGACAAGCTCAGTGAATATAGTTGATTTGATTAAAACACATAGGATATGTCTAATATATGGAAAAATACACGTTTACATATTTCGACCAATCGATTGGTCTAAAGAACAGACGACTCTTGGTTGACCAAGATTTTTAGTCGGGAACAACCCTACATAACACATACACAGTCCGGTGTTCAATTTCTTGTGATTCTGTTTGGTAAACGTATTTGAATATTTTCTGAATGTAAGATGAGCACACTGACACACATTCATATTTAGAAGAAAGATAAACGTAACAGATGTTTACAATGGAAGATGAACAGAAAGGCAGGAGACACTGACAGCGAGCATAGACAGACAGGAGAGATGCTTAAACACAGAGTACAGAGAGTGTAGGTGAGCTCAGATCCGGTAACACAGGCATATTTGATATGATAATGGCGGCACTGAAAGACAAGCAGACATCCAGGAAGCACCAGCAAAAGAGGAAAAAGAGAAAGGGAGGGAGAATGAGGGAAAGAGAGAGAGATGGTTAAGGCCACAATGCCCCGAGTGCAAAAATTAGCATGAGCTTGGTTCCTTTTCAAATGCAATCTATCATCAAAAAGGGATATTTCTCCACCTCTTTGATGATTGATTGATTCAGCACTGCCCAGTCTGACCATTGTAAACTACTGCAATATTCTAACATGGAGGACAGGGCAAAAATATATCCTCCCTCCCTTTTCGAGTTCTACTAAAAAGGAAACCGGGGAGGATAAGGATGGGGACAGAGAGAGACAGGAAGAGAGTGAGTGGGCAGCGCAAAGGCAGGAAGAGAGGGAACGAGGGAGGATAGGGAAGTCTGTGACATAGAGTAAAGGGCTGCTAGCCTTCTCCTCATTGATTTGGATGGAGTGATATTGTATCACAGTAGTTCTCAGAAGAGTGATAAGATATGTCCCACTCTATTTATATACGTCAATACTCCCACTGCAACTTTCTCAATAGCATGTGGACATGCTGTCTATAGTAAGGGTATGTATACATGTGTTGGGCTTTAACAGTAGTATGTTACACTGTCCCTATTTGGCATTTATTAGGATCCCCATTAGCCGCTGCAAAATAATCAGCTACTCTTCCTGTGGTCCACATGAAACATGACATAATACATAGTACAGAACGTAATTAATCAAGGACTGACATACAGTTGAAGTCGGAAGTTTACATACACTTAGGTTGGAGTCATTAAAACTTGTTTTTCAACCACTCCACAAATTGTTTTAACAAACTATAGTTTTGGCAAGTCAGTTAGGACATCTACTTTGTGCATGACACAAATAATATTTCCAACAATTGGTTACAGACAGATTATTTCACTTATAATTCACTGTATCACAATTCCAGTGGGTCAGAAGTTTACATACACTAAGTTGACTGTACCTTTAAACAGCTTGGAAAATTCCAGAAAATTATGTAATGGCTTTAGAAGCTTCTGATAGGCTAATTGACATCATTTGAGTCAATTGGAGGTGTACCTGTGGATGTATTTCAAGACTTACCTTCAACCTCAGTGCCTGTTTGCTTGACATCATGGGAAAAGCAAAAGAAATCAGCCAAGACCTCAGAAAAAAAATTGTAGACCTCCACAAGTCTGGTTCATCCTTGGGAGCAATTTCCAAACGCCTGAAGGTACCACGTTCATCTGTACAAATAATAGTATTCAAGTATAAACACCATGGGACCACGCAGCCGTCATACCGCTCAGGAAGGAGACGCATTCTGTCTCCTAGAGATGAACGTACTTTGGTGCGAAAAGTGCAAATCAATCCCAGAACAATAGCAAAGGACCTTGTGAAGATGCTGGAGGAAACAGGTACAAAAGTATCTATATCCACAGTAAAACGAGTCCTATATCGACATAACCTGAAAGGCCGCTCAGCTAGGAAGAAGCCACTGCTCCAAAACCACCATAAAAAAGCCAGGACAGGCCAACTGCACATGGGGACAAAGATTATACTTTTTGGAGAAATGTCCTCTGGTCTGATGAAACAAAAATAGAACTGTTTGGCCATAATGACCATCGTTATGTTTTGAGGAAAAAGGGGAAGGCTTGCAAGCCGAAGAACACCATCCCAACCGTGAAACACGGGGGTGGCAGCATCATGCTGTGGGGGTGCTTTGCTGCAGGAGGGACTGGTGCACTTCACAAAATAGATGGCATCACGAGGAAGGAAAATAATGTGGATATATTAAAGCAACATCTCAAGACATCAGTCAGGAAGTTAAAGCTTGGTCGCAAATGTGTCTTCCAAATGGACAATGACCCCAAGCATACTTCCAAAGTTGTGGCAAAATGGCTTAAGGACAACAAAGTCAAGGTATAGGAGTGGCCATCACAAAGCCCTGACCTCAGTCCTATAGAATATTTGTGGGCAGAACTGAAAAAGCGTGTGCGAGCAAGGAGGCCTACAAACCTGACTCAGTTACACCAGCTCTGTCAGGAGGAATGGGCCAAACTTCACCCAACTTATTGTGTGAAGCATGTGGAAGGCTACCCGAAACGTTTGACCCAAGTTAAACAATTTAAAGGCAATGCTACCAAATACTAATTGAGTGTATGTAAACTTCTGACCCACTGGGAATGTGATGAAAGAAATAAAAGCTGAAATAAATAATTCGCTTTACTATTATTCTGACATTTCACATTCTTAAAATAAGGTGGTGATCCTAACTGACCTAAGAGAGGGAATTTTTACTAGGATTAAATGTCAGGAATTGTGAACAACTGAGTTTAAATGTATTTGGCTAAGGTATATGTAAACTTCCGACTTACATTTACATTTTACATTTACGTCATTTAGCAGACGCTCTTATCCAGAGCGACTTACAGTTCGTGAATACATATATATATATATATTTTTTTTATACTGGCCCCCCGTGGGAATCAAACCCACAACCCTGGCGTTGCAAACGCCATGCTCTATCAACTGAGCTACATCCCTGCCGGCCATTCCCTCCCCTACCCTGGACGGCACAGGGCCAATTGTGCGCCGCCCATGAGTCTCCCGGTCGCGGCCGGCTGCGACAGAGCCTGGATCCATCTAAACTGACTTCAACTGTACATACATTTAAAATGTCACACATAGCCGGCCTACATATATCTAGGTCTAATACATAATACAGTGAAAATGACGAAACAAGATATATAAAATTGCTGTGTCTCTTCACAGTCCCTGTACTGTCCCTTTTGTGGATAAAGTTTGTGAATAAAGTGTGTGGCTTGGTCTGTTGCAGTGTTGGTGGGAAACCAACTCATGTCATTAACCTAGTTCGTACTACAACTTCAGCACGCTATGAAGGTCTACAGTGTGGGTGTGTGTGCATGCAAGATTGGCAGTGATGTTAGTTCCAGTCTGTAGGTGAATGGAGTTGAATCAGGCAGTAGTTGTTTGTCCATTTTGTCATGATTTAAGGTGGTGATTGTTCCTGAGTGATGCTCTGGACACCAGCCATGAGGACTGCTGCGGCTGCCTTTCCTGTACTGCATTTAGCTGGTTAACACACACGGAAACACACACATGGACTTGACACACACAAACTTCGAGCACACCCACATTTGCATGCACGCACACAAACCAGTACACACGCTCAGACACACTCAGACACACACTGTTTAACACATCAGTGTTTAGTGAATACTTGTGGTTTTTGGTGTATGGAGAGAGAGATAAAGGGTGGATAGAGACTGAGTGAGATGTGTCACAAGTAGAACGTTTCTGAGATTTATAAAGTTTTCTCCTTTTGAGCCGGGAGGTGGAACTGGCTTGAGCCAGAAACATTTTAGGGAAAAAAATGCGTCCATCTAAACTGAATTGTGGCTAAAGTGAGAAAGCCAATGTCGGGTTGTGGTTTGGGCCAAGAGGGAGACGAGGGGAGAGAATGCAGAGAAAAGAAGGGAGGTTGGAGGGGGATAGAGGGGTGGAGGGGAAAGTGAGGGGTTAGGAGTGAGTGATGAAATGTGAGAGAGTGTGGAGGAGTGTGTGTGTGCGTGCGTGCATGTGTGACTGTTGAGCTACTGCCATGGTTCAAGAGGGGGGAATGAGAAACATCCAAGATATTTTCCAGAGCTCTGGTTTAGTGGAGTCGAATGCTTTGAGCTGGCTAGAGAGAGGGAGAGAAGGGATGAGAATAGGAGTCTGGACACGCGAGCGCACACACGTTCATTCAGTCAAACACACAGAAAACACACGCGCACAACCACAGTCCGGGATATGGATAGGGTGGAGTGGGTCATGGCTGAGGCTCATTGTTGTCGAGGCAGTCAGGCTTCCTGTTAGAAGCAGGGAGGAGGCCCATCACCACAACACAGCTGTGACACACACAGACACACAATCCAAGACACACATTGTTCTATTTTAGCATCCCTGTTCTCTTTCAAACTCCTACACGTCATTTTCTGGCATGGAAAAGCAGCACTTTCACACAGTATTTACTCCAGATGAGCAGAATCCAGTAAAAACAGTCATAAAAATAATAATCTTACACACTCTTACTCATAGAAGTCACCCTCCCCATCATTCCTTCTCACAAACGCAACCCAACGGTTTTGTACTACATTGCCGGTAAAAGGCAAACAATAGTTCAAGGCACTTATGAAAAATCCTTTGTCTTTAGTGTTTTTCTCATTTTAATTTAATCAAAATCGAATGAAATCAAAGTTTATTGGTCGCATACACAGATTTGCAGATGTTATCGAAAGTGCAGCGAAATGCTTATGTTTCTTGATCCATCAGTGCAGTAATGCCTAGCAATAAAATAAAAAACAATACACATAATCCAGAAAAAATATATATACAGTGAGGGAAAAAAGTATTTGATCCCCTGCTGATTTTGTACGTTTGCCCACTGACAAAGAAATGATCAGTCTATAATTTTAATGGTAGGTTTATTTGAACAGTGAGAGACAGAATAACAACAAAAAAATCCAGAAAAACGCATGTTAAAAATGTTATAAATTGATTTTAGAAAGATTTCTGGATCCCAGGTGTCTTTTATACAGGTAACGAGCTGAGATTAGGAGCACACTCTTAAAGGGAGTGCTCCTAATCTCAGTTGTTACCTGTATAAAAGACACCTGTCCACAGAAGCAATCAATCAATCAGATTCCAAACTCTCCTCCATGGCCAAGACCAAAGAGCTCTCCAAGGATGTCAGGGACAAGATTGTAGACCTACACAAGGCTGGAATGGGCTACAAGACCATCGCCAAGCAGCTTGGTGAGAAGGTGACAACAGTTGGTGCGATTATTCGCAATTGGAAGAAACACAAAATAACTTTCAATCTCCCTCGGCCTGGGGCTCAATGCAAGATCTCACCTGGTGGAGTTGCAATGATCATGAGAACGGTGAGGAATCAGCCCAGAACTACACGGGAGGATCTTGTCAATGATCTCAAGGCAGCTGGGACCATAGTCACCAAGAAAACAATTGGTAACACACTACGCCATGAAGGACTGAAATCCTGCAGCACCCGCAAGGTCCCCCTGCTCAAGAAAGCACATATACAGGGCCGTCTGAAGTTTGCCAATGAACATCTGAATGATTCAGAGGAGAACTGGGTGAAAGTGTTGTGGTCAGATGAGACCAAAATGGAGCTCTTTGGCATCAACTCAACTCGCCATGTTTGGAGGAGGAGGAATGCTGCCTATGACCCCAAGAACACCATCCCCACGTCAAACATGGAGGTGGAAACATTATGCTTTGGGGGTGTTTTTCTGCTAAGGGGACGGACAACTTCACCGCATCAAAGGGACGATGGACGGGGCCATGTACCGTCAAATCTTGGGTGAGAACCTCCTTCCCTCAGCCAAGGCATTGAAAATGGGTCGTGGATGGGTATTCCAGCATGACAATGACCCAAAACACACGGCCAAGACAACAAAGGAGTGGCTCAAGAAGAAGCACATTAAGGTCCTGGAGTGGCCTAGCCAGTCTCCAGAACTTAATCCCATAGAAAATCTGTGGAGGGAGCTGAAGGTTCGAGTTGCCAAACGTCAGCCTCGAAACCTTAATGACTTGGAGAAGATCTGCAAAGAGGAGTGGGACAAAATCCCTCCTGAGATGTGTGTAAACCTGGTGGCCAACTACAAGAAACGGATGACCTCTGTGATTGCCAACAAGGGTTTTGCCACCAAGTACTAAGTCATGTTTTGCAGAGGGGTCAAATACTTATTTCCCTCATTAAAATGAAAATCAATTTATAACATCTTTGTCATGCGTTTTTCTGGATTATTTTGTTGTTATTCTGTCTCTCACTATTCAAATAAACCTACCATTAAAATGATAGACTGATCATGTCTTTGTCAGTGGGCAAACGTACAAAATCAGCAGGGGATCAAATACTTTTTTCCCTCACTGTATCAATTATATATATATATATATATCTCAGAACGAGCAATGTCAGAGACTGGAATATAAATATATATACATATAAGGGGCAGCAGGTAGCGGTGAAGAGCGTTGGGCCAGTAACCGAAAGGTTGCTGTTTCGAATCCCTGAGCCGGCAAGGTGAAAGAATCTGCCATTCTGCCTTTGAGTAAGGCAGCAACTGCTCCCCGGGCGCCGACGACGTGGACGTCGATAAAGGTTGCAGACGGTGCAGTTGTTTTGTTGACGTTGAGGGAGAGGTTATTTTCCTAGCACCACTCCTCCAGGGCTCATTGTTTTTGGTAATCAGGCCTACCACTGTTGTGTGGTCAGCAAACTTGATGATTGAGTTGGGAGATGTGCGTGGCAGTCATGGGTGAACAGTGAGTACAGGAGGGGGCTGAGAACGCACCCCTGTGGGGGCCCCCGTGTTGAAGATCAGCGTGGCGCAGGTGTTGTTGCCTACCTTCAACACTTGGGGTCAGCCCATCAGGAAGTCCAGTACTCATTTGCATAGGGAGGGGTTCAGACCCAGGGCCCTGAGCTTAGTGGTGAGCTTGCAGGGCACTATGGTGTTGAGGGCTGAGCTGTAGTCGATGAACATCATTCTTACATAGGGTATTCCTCTTATCCAGGTGGGATAAGGCAGTGTGCAGTGCAATGGCGATTGCATCGTCCATGGAGCTGTTGGGGTGATATGCGAATTTCAGTAGGTCTAGTCGGGTAAGGTGGAGGTGATATGGTCCTTAACTAGTCTCTCAAAGCACTTCATGACGACAGAACTGAGTGCTACGGAGCGATAGTCATTTAGTTCAGTTACCTTTGCTTTCTTGGGTACAGGAACAATGGTGGACATCTTGAAGCAAGTGGGGACAACAGACTGGGATATGGAGAGATTGTCCGTAAACACTCCAGCCAGCTGGTCTGCACATCTGAGGACACGGACGTGGCTTGGGAAGCCATCTGGGCCGGCAGCCTTGCAAGGGTTAACACGCTTAAATGACTTACTGATGTAGGCCATGGAGAACGAGAGCACACAGTTTTCGTGAGCGTCGGGGGTCCGCGTCGGCGGCTCGATGTCAACAACTCTACTAGTCCTTCTGTTTCTATACCAGTCATTCTTCCCACTGTTCTCAGAGCAACTCTTTTGTTCCGGCCCATAGGCTTTGCCAGTTCTGGTCTATGTGTGTGTTTGCCAGTTCTGGGCTGTAGAGTGTGTGTGTGTGTGTGTGTGTGTGTGTGTGTGTGGCCCCGAGGTTTGGCATCTCTACCATTGGGAACCACCATGGCTAATTTCAAATCCCTGTAATCTCTATACAGCTCTATGGGAAAGTAGCCATTTTGCATTTAATCCCCGTATTTGATTTCAGGACTTTGTGCTGGTTTTCTTTAGAGTTGGATGCCCATTGTCAACGTGCTGTGTCTCCAGCCCTAGATGGTGGTGTGTGTTTGAGTACTGTGGGCAGACAGGCAAAGGGTGTGTTCCACTCCCCCTTTTTAAGGTACCCTTACTTTCTATCTCTCTAATCCTTATAATCCCTTTCTCCTCTTTCTCCTCCCACCCTCTTTTTCTTCCCGCGCTCCCCCTCTTTCTACTCCTCTCTCTTTGTCTCTCGCTCGCTTTCTCTCCTTTCTCTCCATATCTCTCTTCTCTCCCTCCTCCATGTATCTCTCTCTCTCTCCTCTCTCTCCCCCCTCCCTCTTCTCTCTCTCTCTGTCTCAGGCAGTGGAGAGGGAGCAGGTGGACAGCATTCAGCCCAAGCTGCAGCACGTGAACGCTGTGGGCCAGGGCCTGATCCAGAGTGCAGCCAAACACACAGACACCCAGGCCCTGGAGCACGACCTAGAGACCACCAACCTCAGATGGAACTCCCTCAACAAGAGGGTAAGTCTGTCTGTCCGTCTGTCCATCGGTCTGTCTGTGCTGATGTTTGGGCTAAGGTTTGAGTGTGTGCGTGCATGCGTTTGTGTCTGACTGAATATGTATATTTATGTGTTGCGTTTGTTTGTTGTGTTCCGAATGGAATGATGGGTTTGTATGGAATCAGGTTTATGTCTATATGCATGTATACCTGTCCATGTCACTAAAGTACTTGTCCCCCTCACACACTGCATTGTTACTTGACCAGGTTGCAGAGCGCATCGCCCAGTTGCAGGAAGCTCTGTTGCATTGTGGGAAGTTCCAGGATGCCCTGGAGCCTCTTCTGAGCTGGCTGAGTGATACGGAGGAGCTGGTAGCCAATCAGAAACCCCCGTCAGCAGAGTACAGAGTGGTCAAGGCCCAGATCCAGGAACAGAAGGTGAGAGAGAAAGGGATAGATGGAGTGAGGGATTAGTATCTGGATGGAGAGATAGATGTAGTGAGGAACATAGATTTTATTTCAATACCAAGTCTTTTCCCTACATCAGATACTCAGTCATTATGACTAAGAATTTACTGGCCATTAGAGACATTTGGAACCTAGATTTGGATAAAAACAAGCTTAAGAGATTTTATTCATATATTCATTATTTAGAGAATAATAGAATGGGCTATTACTGTTATTCAATTGTCCTTATTTTCACCAAGAGACATTTAACATGTGACAGGGAAACACACTCACACACACCTAATTATCTGGGTGTTTTGGTGGAGGAAAAGCTCAGTTGAGTCTGCCAGTCTGGTTGGCATTCAACACACCAGTTAACACAGATGTCGGATTACAATGTTTTTCAGAGAAACCAAGCGGCAGAAAAAACACAATGTCTGCTCTCACTCTTTATCTGAAACACTTCCCGTGTTTGTGTGTCGAGGAGCACGGCGGATTCAGTCCCCCCCCCCACTCAGTCATGCATGTTTACATCCAGGAAACTGGAAATTAGTGCTGTTTACCGCAGGCTTGTTCAATGTTACTGAACAGTTATGAATGGGAAGAAGGGGAAGTACTGCCAAATTGAGCTACTACTCATAGTGGACGTCCTCAAAACAGGAGTGGCCTGATATTTGAGATAGTGTATTGTTGAGGAACACTGCAAAACATTGCGGTATTGAATGTGAAGTTTGTTCTAGCTATCTTACCAACTGCTTTATACCGAAATCCTAGAAGCAGCGACTCTTCTGGTCTTGAATATACCCCTAACCCTAATATACATGCAGAACAAACAGTATGAGAGTTGGTATTATTTGTGGTGTTGAACGTACCGTTTATGTCTCTCATTTCCCAGCTGTTACAAAGACTGCTGGACGACCGCAGAGCCACTGTTCAGATGATCCAGGGAGAGGGAGAGAGGATCGCAGCCACTGCCGAGACCCAGGACAAAGACAAGATCCAGAAACAGCTGGAGAGTCTGGGAGAGAGATGGGGCGAGCTGCTGGAGAAAGCCAGGGCAAGGTAACGTACATTATTGTATGGACACACTACACATAGGAATTGATATAACCGGTCACCATTCATCACATACATGCACCACAGTCAGCAAATACATCTTAACACCACAAAAAGACTCTTACACATGCATAGTGTACACGCATGCATAGTATGCACACGCTCACACTAGCCTACCTACAGTATGTATTACCATTACTTCAGTACACAACCCACACATTCCTGACCGTCACATCTGAATGCTTATTTGGATCCACAATGAGACATTGACATACAAAGGCAACCCAAACGCTCACCACCTCTCTCCCTCCTCCTCCCACCTCTGCAGGCAGTGCCAGTTGGAGGAGCTGCAGACGCTGGCACTCCAGTTCCACGAGGCGGTGGAGCCTCTTGGAGAGTGGCTGAGTGCCACCGAGAGACGCCTGAGCACCGCCGAGCCCATGGGAACCCAGACTTCCAAGATCACCCAGCAGATTACAAAACACAAGGTAACGTGTATGACGGTAACGTGGATGACGGTGTCACAAGGTAACATGTCCCCCTCGAGACACAGGTTGTGTTTTCGGTTTCCTTTGATGAAAAGAGGTGAACAAGGGCAGAAAGGAAGGTATAAGTCTCTGGAATGAAACCAGAGAGTGAAGAGGATGGCACCGAAGTAAACAATTGGTTACATTCCAATGAGAGAAAGAAAGGGAACCCCGGGCTCAACCATTTCCCCCTCATCATTTTGATATGATTTGATATCATTTCAATATTATATTTCATTGACTGTTTTTGTTGTTTAGGATTTTATGTTGTCGTTCTTGAAAGTTATCATGCATATTCAGCTTTCATTCGTTCTTTATGATTTATTATCATCCATTATGATTTCTCATCTGCATCCTCTCATTTCCCTATTGTTTTCTTCTGTTCTCCTTCTTCACCCCTCCCCCTCTTCACACACCCCTCCCCTCCCCTCTACCCCTTCCTCTCCACACACACCACCCCTCCCCTCTACCCCCTTCCTCTCCACACACCCCTCCCCTCTACCCCTTCCTCTCCACACACACCACCCCTCCCCTCTACCCCTTCCTCTCCACACCACCCCTCCCCTCTACCCCTCCCCCTCTCCACACACACCACCCCTCCCCTCTAACCCCTCCCCCCTCTCCACACACACCACCCCTCCCCTCTACCCCTCCCCCTCTCCACACACACCACCCCTCCCCCTCTACCCCTCCCCCTCTCCACACACCCCACCCACCCCCACCCCCTCCCCCTCTAACCCCCCCCCTCCCCTCTACCCCCCCCACACCCACCCCACCCCTCCCTCACCCCTCCCCCCTCTCCAACACCACCCCTCCCCTCACCCCCCCCTCTCCACACACACCACCCCCCCCTCTCCACCCCTCCCCCTCCACCACCCACCACCCCTCCCCTCTACCCCTTCCTCTCCACACCACACCCCCCACCCCCTACCCCTCTACCCCCCCCCTCCCACCACACCCACCCCTACCTCCTCCCCCACCCCTCCCCCTCCCCCTCTCCCACCCACCCACCCCTCCCCTCTACCCTCTCCCTCCTCCCACACACACCCACCCCTCCCCTCTACCCCTTCCTCTCCCACACACCACCCCTCCCCTCAACCCCTTCCGTCTCCCACAACCACCACCCCCCCCTCTACCCGCTATCCTCTCCCACACACACCCGCCTCCCTCACCCTTCCTCCCCCATGCGACCCTCCCCTGCGCCGTGCGCTAGGCCTTCCTTCAAGCTCACATGTGCCAACCACGGCCTCATGCTGGCAGGCCCTGGCCAATGCCCAGCTGTTTGGGGAGGATGAGGTGGAGGTGCTCAACTGGCTGGCTGAGGTGGGCCAGAGGCTGGGACAGGTGTCGGTGCAGAGCCACCAGCCGGGGGTCCTCACCCAGCAGCACAAACACACACTGGTACGATACTATGGTTTGGACAGGGAGTAGCTATACTACACAAAATATACTATTAGTAGTATATAGTACACAAAATAGTACACAATAGTATATTAGTACTTAATAGTATATTAGTACTACCGCACTACTGCAGGGAGTATTGTATTGGCTAGTACTGTCTAGACATTGAGTAGCAATATGAATGACTCCTATTACACTCTATAACATAGTTGTCAAACCCATTCCACGGAGGGCAGAGTGTCTGCGGGTTTTCACTCCTCCCTTGTACTTAATTGATGAATTAATGTCACTAATTATTAAGGAACTCCCCACACCGGTAGTCTAGGGCTTCATTAAAAGGAAAAACCCAAAACCTGCATACACTAGGCCCTCCATGGAATGAGTTTGACACCCCTGCTCTGTAAGGTGTTCATTCTGTTTCTCTCCCCTTCCCCCATCAGTCTCTGAATGAAGAGATCGTGAGCAGGAAGAAGCAGGTTGACCAGGCCATTAAGAACGGACAGGCCCTGCTCAAGCAAACCACCGGTACAGTACAACCTCTTAACTCTGGATACTACATAATCTCTTTGATTCTGGACCATCTCTCCCCTAGCCCACATCTAACCATCTTTATCACTAGCCAAACAACCAGAACTGTTCCTGGACCTGTCATTATAACTGCAGATAACCACAGAGCCTGTATTCCACTGACTGGGTCTGTTGTTAACCCCCGCAGGTGAGGAGGTTCTGCTGATCCAGGAGAAGCTGGACGGTATCAAGTCTCGCTACGCTGAGATGACGGCCGGGAGCAGCAAAGCCCTCCGCACCCTGGAGCAGGCCCTGCAGCTGAGCACGCGATTCGCCAGCGCCCACGACGACCTCAACCAATGGCTAGACAAGGTGGAGACGGAGCTCAACATCATGGAGCCCGACGCCACGCCAGCCTATCAGGAAAGACAGAAGGTAAATGTGCCTATATATGCTGTGAATATACTGTATATTGTGTAAATATATTTACAGTCTGCAATATTTCCAGATGTTCAGTGGTCATTTCAATTAATGATACACCCAATGATTCTTGAAGAATAACTTATAGGTTTGTTATTCCTTAGCCCAACTGTCTTGCGGTTATTAGTCTTCAACACTGTAGCGTAAATAGGAGTTATATCTTGAGTTGAAGATACTCAATCTCTCTGTGTGTGTGTGTGTGTGTGTGTGTGTGTGTGTGTGTGTGTGTGTGTCTGTGTGTGTGTTTCTCTTTCCCAGGAGCTGAAGTGTGTGTCAGCGGAGAAACGTCTGGTTTTGGACACGGTCAACGAGGTGGGCAATGCCCTCTTAGACCTGGTGCCCTGGCGTGCCCGTGAGGGTCTGGACCGCCTGGTGGCTGACGCCAACCAGCGCTACCGAACGGCGGACGAGACCATCACCCAGCGGGTACAGCTGGTACAGGCTGCCATCCAGAGGTCACAACAGGTACTGCAATGTGACAAAATGAAATCAATGTCTATTGGGTACTAGCTGCTGAGTCCATTCAGTGATCGTATACGTTTGCAGTGGATGATGGTGTTGATAGTCAAAGGTGGGCCAAATTGTGTAAGTTCAGGATTTGAATAGTTTTGATTTTTATGTCTTCTTTCTCTGTGTCTATCTTGGTCTGTATGGTGTGTAGAAGTAATCCATGAGGTTTCTGCTGTCGTTGTCATGAAGAGGATGATGCTAATGTTGTAGCATTTCCCTCTGGTCTCTTAGCATGAGGTGGCTGTGTGTAATGCTAACTACTGTAAATGCTAATAACATCTCACTCTGTCAGTTGAATTTGTTTGTATTTTTTTAATTTAACCTTTATTTAACCAGGTAAGACAGTTGAGAGCAAGTTCTCATTTACAACTGTGACCTGGCCAAGATAAAGCAAAGCAGTGCGATTAAAAACAACAACAACACAGTTACATATGGAATAAACAAAACGTACAGTCAATAACACAATAGAAAATCTATATACAGTGTGTGCAGATGTAGTAAGTTATGGAGGTAAGGCAATAAATAGGCCATAGTGCAAAATAATTACAATTTAGTATTAACACTGGAGTGATAGATGTGCAGAAGATGATGTGCAAATGGAGATACTGGGGTGCAAATGAGCAAAATAAATAACAATGTAAATAACAATATGGGGATGAGGTAGTTGGGTGGGCTAATTACAGATGGGCTGTGTACAGGTGCAGTGATCGGTAAGCTGCTCTGACAACTGATGCTTAAAGTTAGTGAGGGAGATAAGTGTCTCCAGCTTCAGAGATTTTTGCAGTTCGTTCCAGCCATATGAGGCAGAGAACTGGTAGGAATGGCGGCCAAAGGAGGTGTTGGCTTTGGGGATGACCAGTGAGATATACCTGCTGGAACGCATACTACGGGTGGGTGTTGCTATGGTGACCAATGATCTAAGATAAGGCGGGGATTTGCCTAGAAGTGATTTATAGATGACCTGGAGCCAGTGAGTTTGGCGACAAATATGTAGTGAGGGCCAGCCAACGAGAGCGTACAGGTCACAATGGTGGGTAGTATATGGGGCTTTGGTGACAAAACGGATGGCACTGTGATAGACTACATCCAATTTGCTGAGTAGAGTGTTGGAAGCTATTTTGTAAATGACATCGCCGAAGTCAAGGATCGGTAAGATAGTCAGTTTTACGAGGGCATGTTTAGCAGCATGAGTGAAGGAGGCTTAGTTGCGAAATTGGAAGCCGATTCTAGATTTAGCTTTGGATTGGAGATGCTTAATGTAAGTCTGGAAGGAGAGTTTACGGTCTAACCAGACACCTAGGTATTTGTAGTTGTCCACATATTCTAAGTCAGACCCGCCGAGAGTAGTGATTCTAGTCGGGACGGGCGGGTGCAAGCAGCGTTCGATTGAAGAGCATGCAGTGTGGGGAAGCTGTGTGTGCCATGCTAACTGTGTGTATCTCTCTGTGCCTCAGTATGAGGAAGCGGTGGACGCAGAGCTGACCTGGGCTGGGGAGACTGAGAGGAAGTTATCTTCCCTAGGTCCTCTGAGTCTGGAGCCTGACGTCACCGTGGCCCAGCTACAAGTCCAGAGGGCCTTCAATATCGACATCATCCGACACAAAGACACCGTGGACCAGCTACTCAACACCAGGGACGACATCCTGGAGACATGCAGTGACCAGCAGAGAGACGCTCTGATGGTGAGGAGAGTGGGACGAAGGGTTTGGGGAGAGCGAAAGTGGCCAGAGAAATGCAGAGAGTCAGTGAGAAGGGAGAAAGGCTTCCAAACAGGCCAAGAGGACTTTTGTAACATAAGCAATGACTAATTTAAGAAAAGTTAATTCACAGGAAAATCAAATGACATGATCGATGTATTATTAGAATGTTATTAAATATTATAAACAAGGAAGGAAATATTGTGTTTTGGGCTCGATATACAAGTAGGGAAATACTCTTTGTGCTTGAAGTAAAATAGCACAACAATAGTACACAAAATAGGAAATATTCAGGTGATTTTTGCCTAGTTACCAAATGTGAACCATTCTAACACCTTTTCCTCCCTTCGCTCTCCTCAGGTGAAGACTGACTCGCTGTCTGCCCACTACGAGGCGGTGAGCCAGCGGCACCAGGAGCGTTTCTCAGCCCTGGAGCAGGCCCAGGTCCTGGTGGCCCGCTTCTGGGAGACCCAGGAGGAGCTGGAGCCCTGGCTGGGGGAGACGGAGACCCTTATCGCCCAGCTGCCCCCACCCGCCGTCGACACAGAGGCCCTGCGACTACAACAGGAGCAGATGAGGGTGAGGAGGGAGGGAGGAATGGGAGGAGGCAGAAAGGGGGAGGAGTGGGAGTAGGCTCTAATTGCTGTATTTTAACTCATGTCCTCGTGAAAAGATGTATCATGTCGAATACGTTCCTAACACTTCTACTCTTTATCTTTTGCCTTTTTCATTTCTCTTTCTCTGTCTGTGTGGTACTCCAACTGTACCACTCTCTCAATCACTCTATCCATCTTCCTCTTTACTGATTGTCCACTCTTTCTACCTCTTGGTTCTTCCTCCCTCCATCTTTCCTCCAGCTCCTGAGGGAGTCCATAGCGGAGCACAAGCCCCACATCGACAAGCTGCTGAAGATCGGCCCCCAGCTGGCCGTTCTGAGTCACCAAGAGGGGGCCACCGTGAGGCAGCGCTACAGCGACGCCGAGAAACGCTACATGGCCATCAAGGAGGAGGTCAAGGGTCGCGCCACCACCCTGGACGAGGCTGTGTCTCAGTCTGCACAGGTATGGTTTCGTAAAAGTGAATTTGAAATCGGTTTGTAGCTCGAAAGTGTTTCAATTGTCAAAGCTTGTGTCTGCCGATTGCTGCCCCAATACAACCGAGCTTACGGCATACATATGAGGAAATCTGACGACTTCCTTATATGGATGCCGTAAGCCTTGTTATGTCCATATTTGGAAGTCTTCCAATTTCCTAATATGGATGCCGTACGTACAATCTAGCTGCTAATGGCATGATGAGGTCAATGTAATGTTACAATTTACACTGCTCTTCCACTAGAGAGCAGTGTGGTATTTATTTGACCACTGGACTCTTTACTTGGAACTGTGTTTTGGCTCTTTTTTCTAATTTCCATTAAATGAATGGAAGAGAACTAGACAATGTTATAACTTATTCTTGCGCTCCAAGAAATGTTGCAATGATCTTCAAAAGTCTTAGTCATAATATGATAGTAGTGGTAGTAATAGTTGCTATTTGCTAAAGCTACACAGCTTCATTGCTACCCTTAATAGTAAATCAATTGTTATATACAATTTTCCTATTTCCATAAGTAGCATTCACATTTTATTTCAGTAGTTCTCTTGTCAAATGCTCTCTCATAACACCTCATTTCATAAATCATGAGCCACCATTGATTATGAAGGAGTGCTAAGCTGATTGTTGCTGCTGTTGATATTGCTTGGCCAGAGTGTGTGCATGTCACTGATCTAACACAACGTATTGTTTCTCTACCTCCCATCCCTAATGGACCATATCACCCACCCACTCCCTCTCTCTATGCATCCCTCTCTCTCTATTTTCATTCCTCCTAAACCACCAACCTCCATACCTCTCTATCCCCCCCCTAAATTCCCAACCCTCCCTTGTGCCTTACATTTCCCCCTCTCCTTGCACTCCCCCACCCCTCCATCCTTCCATCCCTCCCTCCCTGATTTGCGCCATCCATCCCTCCGTCCTGCCTCTCACTCATTGTGGATGTGCTGTGTGTTTTGACCCACCATTTCCTCCATCCATCATCACTGCTCACTGCAATCACCCAGCTGGTAGAGGTAAGACCACTGACTGACCTGTACTGTGTTACTGATGCCAACCGGCCACAACGTGACTTAGTAACCATAGTACTGACCAAGATGTACTGACACACCAAATGACACAATTTACAGGAATGTGTTTGTTAGTTATTAGAGATCCTTCCTGCGTGAATCTTGTGTCTAGGCTCAGACAACCCGCCATAACTCCCAAGTATACTTTGTCCAATCTCTCTCCTCTTTCCCAATTAGTGTGTTTTGATATGTTTGTAAATTGGCAATTCCTGTCCTTTTTAGTAGCTTTAGGCTTGTCCTCTTCTCTGTTCCAGTCCATGTTACCCATTTTGACATTGCTCAAATGCAGTTATTTACCAGAAACGTCCATATAATCTTTATCAACAACCACTTAGTGAGGCTGTGGCAATAGTTTGTGCTGATTGAAAGTTGGGTGCAGTATTCCTAACGAAGTTAACTTTATTAATGTATAGTAAATACATCAATAATACTCCCACACCTTGAATCACATGACCCTCCAAGTATCCAAATTACATGGTATTTTTCAGTAGGAGCTCAGCATTTTCGCACTGTCAAAATGTCACCCCTCCCCTCCGAATACATATACGAATGTATAATAATACGAATAAAACCCTTAAAGGCTCTGCATGGTCAATCCGCCTTCTGCAGTGGCTGTACAGCGTTTACTGCGATACGGCCTCTGTAGAAGTCAGGGCATTCATACTTCTTCCGCTTCGAAGAGCTGTTGTGAAGGAAGTTGTCAAGGAAGTGAGTTTGTGTTTGTATAGGACCTCCCACCCCCACCGACCGTCAACCTATCATGTCAATGCGGAGCTATACGGAGCCCTCCGCATTGTTACAGAAATTGGTAGGCGCATGGCATCGTCGTATGGAGCTCGATTTGGCCTCCGGAGGCTCTGCAATTTACATTTACATTTTAGTCATTTAGCAGACGCTCTTATCCAGAGCGACTTACAGTTAGTGAGTGCATACATTTTTTCATACTGGCCCCCCGTGGGAAATGAACCCACAACCCTGGCGTTGCAAGCGCCATGCTCTACCAACTGAGCTACACGGGGCCACTTGCGTGACACCCTCCATTCGGAGCCTCTGGACAGCATTGCCGGATCGAGCAGCTATTAGTCACACTACCCACCTCCTCTTCTTAACCCTCTCTCTCCACCCCTCCCTCTTCCCCCCCAGTTCCACGACAAGATGGACCCCCTGTTGGAGACCCTGGAAGGGGCCGTGCAACGCCTCCGCTCCCCTTCTCCCGTGGCGGCAGAGGTGGATAAGATCCGGGAGCAGCTGGCTGAGCACAAGGCAACAGGGCTGGAGCTGGACAAACTGCTGCCCTCCTTCTCTGCCCTTTGTGCCCGCGGCGAGGAGCTCATCAGTAGAGCAGCCCACGACGACCCTGCCGCTCAAGGCAAGGGCCTAAAACACACACAGATACACTTACATATGCTGTGTGTGTACACACACACACATAAACACAATCACACATGAACACATAAACAAAAATAAATGCACATACATCACCCAGGGGCACACACACATGACCAGCCCTAGGTAGAGACAATGACTCCTACACAGGACCCCAGTATAAAAAGAGATGCGCTAAAACAATGTGCATGCACACACTCACACTGTACTACAATGATCCCACTGACAAACCTGATTCGTCTCATCCTTTTTTTTATTCAACAAAGTTTATTTTAAACACAGACACCCAGAAACACAAAGGCGCCGATTCACAAACACTTATGAACTTTTGACGACTCACATGACGACACCGCCATCCCCCCGCCAAAAAACCCTCCGGCTTTGACACACCACGCCTCCATCCATTTCTCAGTGCACCACTTCATAACTATGAATGAGTGCTCTGTGCAGTGGTAGTGGGAGTGTACCCTATTGACTGACTCTAAAAGACTCCACTGTTGAGGGCTAGTCACTAGATGGCCATGCTAGAAGGGACAAAAGCAGCAATAACGTCAGAACTTATAAGCAAGTACATTTGCTATTTGTCGTAATGTTATGGTTCGGTTCAGGGTAAAATAATTAATAATAACTTATTACATAAAATTCCTCCATCCATTTTTACATAGCTAATAGCAAATAGTGACAATTCTGTCCTTTCAAGCATGGACAAAAAACACCACGCTTCCAGATTAATTCCTAACTCTCCCATCCCCCTCTTTCCCCCTCCCAGCCGTGCATTCCCGTCTCCTGCGTCTGCGCTCCCTGTGGGATGAGATCCGGCAGAGGGCTGAGGAGCGGGAGGGGAAGCTGACGGACGTCTTGGACCTGGCTGGGAAGTTCTGGGCCGACATGGCGGCGCTACTGAGCACGCTCCGTGACTCGCAGGACATCGTCAAGGAACTGGAGGACCCCGGGGTGGACCCCTCCCTCATCAAACAGCAGATAGAGGCAGCAGAGGTACGTATGGAGAGGGGGATGGAGGGTTACTAAGAGAGAGGAAGGGGACAATGGTTATTGAAAGAGAGAGGGAGGAGAAAAGTGAGAGAGAGAAAAAGATATTGAGGCAAAGCGCATGTTTGTAGCAACAATATTGAATACACAAGGAAAGTATAGCAAGATATTCAGACGCTAAAATGTGGAGCAATAGAGTCTTCTGAGGTAAAGTGGGGAAATATGACGGAATGTTATTAGTTATGTAACTGCCTATATAGCTTCTGATTGAAACATGTATTTGTACTGTGGTTAGCTCAGAGGTAGGAAGGGGAGAGAATATGCAGAGGTAGTTACTGATGATTGTGACGACTGTTGGGTTATCTGGTCTGTCCAACTGTGCTGATGTCTGTGTGTCTCTCATCAGGCCATCAAGGCCGAGACAGACGGGCTGAGGGAGGAGCTGGAGTTTGTACGAACCCTTGGGGCTGACCTCATCTTCGCCTGCGGAGAAACTGAGAAACCTGAGGTCAAGAAGACCATCGACGAGGTGAGAGGAGTACAGCATGACAACTTCAACACTTAAGACAGGATCAAACAAATCAAGAACAATAATCATTAATGGACTCGTTGCATTATCTTTCTTGTGTCTATGTTCTCTGTTTTATGTCTTTTTATTGCAGTATATGTTTTATCTTTCCTCTCTTCTTCCTTCTCTGTATCCGTTTCTCAGATGAATGCCGCCTGGGACGGCCTGAACCGGACGTGGAGAGAGAGGATGGAGAGGTTGGAGGAGGCCATGACGGCTTCTGTGCAGTACCAGGATGCATTGCAGGTCAGTGTCCCAGAATGCATCACTCTTTCAGCTCAGTGTGTCAGATAATTAAATAATTTTAATTAAATAATTTTGTATTCATTGCACTAGTTCTTTAGGAATGTAGATGCGTAGAAATGTATAATGTTATGAAGTAGAGGCATTTATAGGTATCAGGACATAGATCGGCATTATATCTTTCAGAAGTTAGATTGTCTCATTTGTCTCTCTCGTGTGTGTGTGTGTGTGTGGTGTGTGTGTGTGTGTTGCAGGGCATGTTTGACTACCTGGACAACGCAGTGATCAAGCTCTGTGACATGTCCACTGTGGGCACTGATCTGGGAACTGTCAAACAGCAGATCGAAGAACTCAAGGTTTGAATCATAATCGACTTTTGTCATGTAGCTTTGATATAAATACTATACTTAATATATTCCAATAAAAGTTTTCCTCATCCTCCAAATATTTATAATCTTTATTGTACTTAAAAAACGGTTTTGATGAAAATACAAAATCCTCGGTAAGTCAAAAATACTCTCTTGGTTAATAGTTAACTATCACTAATGATAAGCAAACTGCTAGTACAGGCCTGACTCCTCTCCTCTCCTGTGAGCAGCAGTACAAGGTGGAGGTGTACCAGCAGCAGATAGACATGGAGAAGCTGTGCCACCAGGGGGAGCTGCTGCTCAAGAAGGTCTCGGACCAGACCGACAGAGACATGATCCAGGAGCCCCTCACGGAGCTCCGACACCTCTGGGACAACCTGGGGGACAAGATCACTCACAGACAGGTACGCAAACTATGCATTGACCTGTTTTACCCAGTGACTTCCTAACTATTGTAGAGTAGGGGAAGTAGCTACAGTAGCTCTTCAGCCCCCTGTCTAAAAGAACGCCTTCAGACCTCCGGTCGTCTGGAACTCAGACTCACTGTTGCCCCCCCCCCCCCAAAGTCAATACTTTGTAGAGCCACCTTTTGCAGCAATTACAGCTGCAAGTCTCTTGGGGTATGTCTCTACAAGCTTGGCACATCTAGCCACTGGGATTTTTGCACATTCTTCAAGGCAAAACTGCTCCAGCTCCTTCAAGTTGGATGAGTTCCGCTGGTGTACAGCAATCTTTAAGTCATACCACAGATTCTATATTGGATTGAGGTCTGGGCTTTGACTAGGCCATTCCAAGACATTTAAATGTTTCCCCTTAAACCACTCAAGTGTTGCTTTAGCAGTATGCTTAGGATCATTGTCCTGCTGGAAGGTGAACCTCCATCCCAGTCTCAAATCTCTGGAAGACTTTCCCTGTATTTAGTGCCATCCATCATTCCTTCAATTCTGACCAGTTTCCCAGTCCCTGCCGATGGAAAAACATCCCCACAGCATGATGCTGCCACCACCATGCGTCACTGTGGGGATGGTGTTCTCGAGGTGATGAGAGGTGTTGGGTTTGCACCAGACATAGCGTTTTCCTTGATGGCCAAAAAGCTCAATTTTAGTCTCATCTGACCAGAGTACCTTCTTCCATATGTTTGGGGAGTCTCCCACATGCCTTTTGGCGAACACCAAACGTGTTTGCTTATTTTTTTCTTTAAGCAATGGCTTTTTTTCTGGCCACTCTTCCATAAAGCCCAACTCTGTGGAGTGTACAGTTTAAAGTGGTCCTATGGACAGATACTCCAATCTCCGCTGTGGCGCTTTGCAGCTCCTTCAGGGTTATCTTTGGTCTCTTTGTTGCCTCTCTGATTAATGCCCTCCTTGCCTGGTCCGTGAGTTTTGGTGGGCGGCCCTCTCTTGGCAGGTTTGTTGTGGTGCCATATTCTTTCCATTTTTTTATAATGGATTTAATGGTGCTCCGTGGGATGTTCAAAGTTTCTGATATTTTTTTATAACCCAACCCTGATCTGTACTTCTCCACAACTTTGTCCCTGACCTGTTTGGAGAGCTCCTTGGTCTTCATGGTGCCGCTTGCTTGGTGGTGCCCCTTGCTTAGTGGTGTTGCAGACTCTGGGGCCTTTCAGAACAGGTGTATATATATATATATATATATATATACTGAGATCATGTGACACTTAGATTGCACACAGGTGGACTTTATTTATCTAATTATGTGACTTCTGAAGGTAATTGGTTGTACCAGATCTTCTATAGGAGCTACATAGCAAAAGGGGTAAATACAAATGCACGCATCACTTTTCCGTTATTTTTTCATTTGTTATTTTTATTCATTTCACTTCACTAATTTGGACTACTTTGTGTATGTCCATTACATGAAATCCAAATAAAAATCCATTTAAATTACAGGTTGTAATGCAACAAAATAGGAAAAACGCTAAGGGGGATGAATACTTTTGCAAGGCACTGTACATTATATTACACATTGCAATGCAATACAATCCAACATGGTTTCTGAATAACCACTGTTTTCCCTATTCTGTTTCCTACAGCATAAATTGGAGGGTGCTCTCCTGGCGCTAGGTCAGTTCCAGCATGCCTTGTCTGAGCTGCAGTCCTGGCTTAGTCACACCCACTCCACCCTGGACACGCAGAGACCCATCAACTCCGACCCCAAGGCCATCGAGATAGAACTGGCCAAACACCACGTACGTCTACCTCTCTACATCTATCCCTCCCACACGCTTACTTATCCTCTCCATTTCTTCTTTACGCCTTAATTTCTAGACTCTTAACGACCAGTTTCCCACACCCAGATTAAGCCAATCCTGGACTAAAAAGCACTTTCAATGGAGATTCTCCATCAGGAAATCGGTCTTATTAGCTTATCTCTACCTCTCTCTCATCTCTCCTCAATCTCCCCTCCATATCACCCTCACTTCTGTTATTTTCCCTTATAGATTATGCGTTACGCCATTTTGTGCCAGAATGCTTGCTTCACATCAATGATTGCATTGGAGAACTGTAACTTACACACCCTCCCTCCAACTCTCTCTCTTTCAGGTGCTGAGGAACGACGTGTTGTCCCATCGCTCCACGGTGGAGACGGTGAACGCGGCAGGGGCTGAGCTGCTGGAGTCCAGTCCCGGGGATGAGGCCAACCACCTCCGCGACCAGCTGGACCACCTCAACCGCGGCTGGGAGAACCTGCTACTCAAGTCCCAGGACCGGCAGAAACTACTGGAGGCTGCACTGCACCAGGTAGGAAGGATACAGGAGGACTGGAGGACTGGGCTGAGAAGAGAGGCTCTAGTTATGAGTACTGTCTGAGTTAAGCGAAAAGAAGGAATTACATCATTTCTATCAATTTCTTCTTACCCCTCCATGTAATTATATTTCTATATTATGGGTTTCCATCTTGTACAAATAAGATTATCAAGTTGCACTAGCAAAATAGGTTATTTACCAGTTAAGTAAAGGTTTAAATACTGTACTAAATTTTAACTAAGCTAAAACCATGGGGCAAATGAATGAACGACACAGCAGCACTGCCATTAACGCACAACTCATGACTTCCCGTCTTGTTCCCTCTCGTCCCTCGTTCCCCAGGCGGAGGGTTTCCATGGTGAGCTGGAGGAGTTCCTGCAGTGGATGAGGAGGACAGAGAGCCAGCTGTCTGCAGCCAAACCCACAGGTGGCCTGCCTGAGACCGCACGGGAGCAGCTGCAGCAGCACCTGGTAATACTGGGGTTACATGTTATGATACTGCACCCTACCCATACATACACTAGATATGATGTGATGGAGACAACACATGGTAATGGGGATAAATGTTATGACACTGCATCCTCCCCATACATACAGTGAGGGAAAAAAGTATTTGATCCCCTGCTGATTTTGTACGTTTGCCCACTGACAAAGGCATGATCAGTCTATAATTTTAATGGTAGGTTTATTTGAACAGTGAGAGACAGAATAACAACAACAAAAATCCAGAAAAACACATGACAAAAATGTTATGAATTGATTTGTATTTTAATGAGGGAAATAAGTATTTGACCCCTCTGCAAAACATGACTTAGTACTTGGTGGCAAAACCCTTGTTGGCAATCACAGAGGTCAGACGTTTCTTGTAGTTGGCCACCAGGTTTGCACACATCACAGGAGGGATTTTGTCCCACTCCTCTTTGCAGAGCTTCTCCAAGTCATTAAGGTTTCGAGGCTGACGTTTGGCAACTCGAACCTTCAGCTCCCTCCACAGATTTTCTATGGGATTAAGGTCTGGCCACTCCAGGACCTTTAATGTGCTTCTTCTTGAGCCACTCCTTTGTTGCCTTGGCCGTGTGTTTTGGGTCATTGTCATGCTGGAATACCCATCCACGACCCATTTTCATTGCCCTGGCTGAGGGAAGGAGGTTCTCACCCAAGATTTGACGGTACATGGCCCCGTCCATCGTCCCTTTGATGCGGTGAAGTTGTCCTGTCCCCTTAGCAGAAAAACACCCCCAAAGCATAATGTTTCCACCTCCATGTTTGACGATGGGGATGGTGTTCTTGGGGTCATAGGCAGCATTCCTCCTCCTCCAAACACGGCGAGTTGAGTTGATGCCAAAGAGCTCGATTTTGGTCTCATCTGACCACAACACTTTCACCCAGTTCTCCTCTGAATCATTCAGATGTTCATTGGCAAACTTCAGACTGGCCTGTATATGTGCTTTCTTGAGCAGGGGGACCTTGCGGGCGCTGCAGGATTTCAGTCCTTCACGGCGTAGTGTGTTACTAATTGTTTTCTTGGTGACTATGGTCCCAGCTGCCTTGAGATCATTGACAAGATCCTTCTGTGTAGTTCTGGGCTGATTCCTCACCGTTCTCATGATCATTGCAACTCCACGAGGTGAGATCTTGCATGGAGCCCCAGGCCGATGGAGATTGACAGTTATTTTGTGTTTCTTCCATTTGCGAATAATCGCACCAACTGTTGTCACCTTCTCACCAAGCTGCTTGGCGATGGTCTTGTAGCCCATTCCAGCCTTGTGTAGGTCTACAATCTTGTCCCTGACATCCTTGGAGAGCTCTTTGGTCTTGGCCATGGTGGAGAGTTTGGAATCTGATTGATTGATCGCTTCTGTGGACAGGTGTCTTTTATACAGGTAACAAGCTGAGATTAGGAGCACTCCCTTTAAGAGTGTGCTCCTAATCTCAGCTTGTTACCTGTATAAAAGACACCTGGGAGCCAGAAATCTTTCTGATTGAGAGGGGGTCATACTTATTTCCCTCATTAAAATGCAAATCAATTTATAACATTTTTGACATGCGTTTTTCTGGATTTTTTTGTTGTTATTCTGTCTCTCACTGTTCAAATAAACCTACCATTAAAATTATAGACTGATCATTTCTTTGTCAGTGGGCAAACGTACAAAATCAGCAGGGGATCAAATACTTTTTTCCCTCACTGTATGTTTACCATTCATTATGGAAGTTATTCACTGTTCATCCATTCAACCCTTTGAAAACATGTGTGTGTGTCTGTAGGAGCTCCAGACCCAGTTGGCCCAGCGCGCTGAGCAGTACAACCGACTGCTGGACGCAGGAGAGTCCATGTTGCTGTCCCGTGGGGGGGAGGAGGGCGGCCCCGGAGCTGGTACGACCCAGACCCAACAGAACCTGGCCCTGCTGCAGAACAAGTGGGCCAGCCTGAACACCAAGATGGACGACCGCAGGGTAAGAGAAGAAGCTTCTGTTCTGAGACATGAATAAAAGACTATAAGTAAGAGCTTCTTCTTTACTTCTGTAAAAAAAAAACATGAAGAAGACCAAAAGCCAAAACGCATTTATTTTGACTTGTAACAATAAAGAAGCTTTTTCTTTACATCCATTGTCCTCCAAGAGTTACCGAATCGTCTCTCTAAGAGCGCCTTCAGAAAATGTAATGGTTGCTTAGCTTAGAGCTGAACGCTAACTGAATGCTAACTGAATGTAATGGTTGCTTAGCTTAGAGCTGAACGCTAACTGAATGCTAACTGAATGTAATGGTTGCTTAGCTTAGAGCTGAACGCTAACTGAATGCTAACTGAATGTAATGGTTGCTTAGCTTAGAGCTGAACGCTAACTGAATGCTAACTTAACACAAAGTTGTGCATTTGTATATGTATACAAAGTGCTGCACTCATGTATTCATTAGGTACCTAATAAAATGTATACATTATAGATTTTCACAGGTAGACTATAAAAAACACTGTTTTACATAGGAGGTGTATCTTTAAAGGAGCGATTTTCAATGTTACCATCAAACCTTTCACTGACCCGTTTGCTACCCCTCCACCCCCCACCCTAGGCGAAGCTGGATGAAGCGGTGTCGCTGGCCACAGGGTTCCAGTCCTCCCTCCAGGACACCATCAACTGGCTGACCCAGGCAGAGCAGACCCTCAACATGGCCCAGCCCCCCTCCCTCATCCTGGACACCGTCCTCTTCCAGATAGATGAACACAAGGTAGGCAATTTAGGCACCATAGAAGTATAGAGATCCTATGTTATGCGTGGTTGACATTCATTTCTATGGTAAGTGGGGTTATATTGGTGAGTAGTTTACATAAAATGGATTCCATGGAATAGGATAGAATATTGGGCCTCCCGAGCGGCGCAGCGGTCTAAGGCACTGCATCTCAGTGCTTGAGGCGTCACTGCAGACCCTGGTTTGATCACAGGCTGTCACAACTGGCCGTGACCGGGAGTCCCATAGGGCGGCGCACAATTGGCCCAGCGTCGTCCGGGTTAGGGGAGGGTTTGGCCGGGGGGCTTTACTTGGCTCATCGCGCCCTAGTGACTCCTTGTGGCGGGCTGGGTGCCTGCAGGCTGACTTCAATCATCAGTTGAACAGTGTTTCCTCCGACACATTGGTGCAGCTGGCTTCCGGGTTAAGCGGGTGGGTGTTAAGAAGCGCGGTTTGGTGGGTCATGTTTCGGAGGACGCATGACTCGACCTTCGCCTCTCCCAAGCCCGTTGGGGAGTTGCAGCGATGAAACAAGATCGTAATTGGATATCACGAAATTGGGGAGAAAGAGGGTGTATAATACAGCAACAATATATGTGAATGATAAGTTGACTCATCATATTCATCAGACATTTTGCAGACTTAATACATTTCCCTTCCACCTTTCTCTTCCGTTTGGCTAGCTGGTATGTGCTGATGAGCATGTGCGTATACAGCTGAAATCATGGCACCAAGAACCAAATCAGCGAATCAATTTAATGTTAAGGCTGTCACGAGGGACTAATACAACTGTAACACGCTCTCTGTCTATCTCTGTTCCCCCCAGGTGTTTGTGAATGAGGTGAACACCCACAGGGAGCAGGTTTTGGCTCTGGAGAAGGCCGGCTCTCAGCTGCGTTTCGCCAGTCTGAAGCAGGATGTGGTTCTGATCAAGAACCTGCTGCTGAGTGTTCAGGCCCGCTGGGACAAGCTGGTGCAGAGGTCCCTGGACCGCGGCAGACACCTCGACGAGGCCCGCAAGAGGGCCAAGCAGGTACGAGAGAGGAGGGTTTTAAATGCTTTCTCCATATGTACGTAACTCACTTCACCCTTCACCAAAGTGCTGCACCCAAATGGACGCTACACGGCAGACATTTTGTTTTAGAAAACACCCTGCATATCAATTAGATATGGTAAACCAGTTTCTCTCTCCCTCCCTTTAGTTCCATGAGGCGTGGAGGAAACTGTCAGACTGGCTGGAGGAGGCTGAGAGCCGACTAGACTCAGAGCTGGAGATCTCCAACGAGCCAGACAAGATCAAAGTACAACTGACCAAACACAAGGTACAGTAGGAGTCTCACTTTAAAGCTCACTGTGTGGGTCTTGCATGGAAATAATAGGATTCTGAGCGATACTCACACCCAACGAACACAATATATGATTAGGCTGCACAATGTAGATCCTCTGTGCTTTTGTGTGATTTTTCTCTTACATGTATGACATGGTATCTCCCCCCCCCCCCCCCCCAAAGGAGTTTCAGAAGGCTCTGGGCTCTAAACAGCCGGTGTATGACACCACAGTGAGGTCTGGTAAGGCCATGAGGGACAAGGCCACGTTGCCCGAAGACACCCAGAAACTAGACCACCTACTAGGGGAGTTCAGGGACAAGTGGGACACCGTCTGTGGGAAGAGTGTGGAGAGGTGAGGGGAAAACTCGATGCCAAATGCTTTATTAGAATGACTATTATGGTAGGGTTCTCCAACTCCAGTCCTGGAGAGCTACTGATTGTGCAGGTTTCTGTTCCAGCCCAGCACAAAGTAACGCACCTGATTCAGCTAATTCTGGTCCCGATTGAACCCAACGATTATTGATTGATTATTTGAAACTGGAACAAAAGCCTGCAAACCCAGGAGCTCTCCAGGACACTGTCATATAGAATACTGGATCATAAAAGCGAAGTTCAAATAATGATAGCTGCAATTTCAAAGTAATGTGACAACTGATTTTTCCTCCATCTCTCATACAGGCAACACAAGCTGGAGGAGGCCTTGCTGTTCTCAGGTCAGTTTGCTGAGGCCCTGCAGGCCCTGGTGGACTGGCTGTACCGTGTAGAACCCCAGCTGGCTGAAGACCTGCCAGTCCAGGGAGACCTGGACCTGGTCTCCAATCTCATGGACTCGCACAAGGTATTTATTTATGTAACAGCAAAGGTTAGACTATTGGTTACCATTGGTTTAAAAAGCCACAAAAAAGCCTGCACTTACTTTTATTTGCCCAGCGCCTCATTGCCCAAGCAGAATTAAATGTGAATACTTATTTCTCAATCGTAACATTTTGTCATGTTTGACCCATTTTTCATATTGAGGACTAATGTGTAGTATACAGTGCATTAGGAAAGTATTCAGACCCCTTCCCTTTTTGTGTGTATATTGATGAGGGGAAAAAAACGATTGAATCAATTTTAGAATAAGGCTGTAACGTAATAAAATGTGGAAAAAGTCAAGGGGTCTGAAAACTTTACAAATGCACATATTTGATCCCCCTGCTCTATGTTTAGGTTCAAACTATTTCCATGTTGTTTGACCACTGTTTGATTATGTCTCCTCAGGCCTTCCAGAAGGAGTTGGGGAAGAGGACCACTAGTGTCCATGCCCTGAAGCGCTCAGCCAGAGAACTGATGGAGACGGGCCGAGACGACACCGCCTGGGTCAAAGTTCAACTGCAAGAGCTCAGCAACCGCTGGGACACAGTCTGTGCCCTGTCCGTCACCAAGCAGACCCGCCTCCAGCAGGCCCTCAAACAGGTCAGTTGGGAAGAAGAAGCCAAGTGGTTGTGACATTTTGGTTTTAGCACAATAATAACAAGTTACAGAAGACCATGAATTGTATTATAATTTAATGTAAAGATACAGATGATTTCAGTCCATTTACTTTTCTTTCATTAATGCTATCTGTGCAAGCACATTACAGTATATAATACCGTAAACTAGACCGCAAAAGCTCAATAAAGCTGAAAACCTTTTTTCTCCATCCTTCTAATGATCCTCCCTCTTTCATCCCGCTCTCTCAGGCGGAGGAGTTCCGCACGGCGGTGCAGCTGCTGCTGGAGTGGCTGTCAGAGGCAGAGCAGACGCTGCGTTTCCGTGGTGTGCTGCCCGAGGAGGCGGAGACTCTGCAGACGCTGCTCCACACCCACCGGAACTTCATGGCCACGGTTGAGGAGAAGAGGACCGACGTGAACCGGGCAGCGGGCCAGGGCGAGGCCATCCTCACCGCGTGCAATGCGGACTGCATCACCACCATCAAACACTGGATTACCATCATCCGCGCCCGCTTTGAAGAGGTAGGTTGTATGGAAAAGGAGAGTGGGATGAATAGGGAGATAAGAGAGGGAGGTAAATGTTTTAAAGCCCAAGTATTTCACCCATGAATTGGTGCATTTTGCTTCTACAGGTCCTCACATGGGCCAAACAGCACGAGCAGCGTCTGGAGACTGCTCTGACAGAGCTGCTCAACAACGCCACGCTATTGGAGGAGCTGTTGTCATGGCTGCAGTGGGCGGAGACCACCCTAGTCCAGCGTGACGGCGAGACCCTTCCACAGGACATCCCTCAGCTCAAAACACTCATCACAGAACACCAGGTGGGAGGAGCCTGCTTTTCTGAAACCCTCATTGGCTAAGTTGCTATTATAATTATCACTCTTTCTGATTGGCTGTGTCTAACGTCAATCTATTGTTCCCAGGTGTTTATGGAGGAGATGACCCGGAAGCAGCCTGACGTGGACAAAGTGACCAAGACTTACAAGAGGAAACCAGCAGAGCCCCCTAGCAGCCTAGCTGAGAGGAGAGGAGCTCGTACGTTACCTTATTTTACCTCACAAAGATGCATTAATATTATGTTGTACTAAATGAGAAAGAGGAGAAAGACAATAAAAGTCACCAAAATATCATCAAACGTTCCATCAAGTGTCCTCAACATTCAAACCCATATAATGCACAGTAACCATGACACCTCTCCCTACAGGTAAAAACCAGCAGCAACAACAGCATCAACAACAGGCGGCGATGCAGGTCGCCGGGGGCTACCCCCGCCTGACCCAGCTATGCTCAAGGTGGCAGCAGGTGTGGCTGCTTGCCCTCGACCGCCAGCGCAAGCTCAACGACGCCCTCGACAGGCTTGAAGAGGTACTGTATTGTAGAAACCCTTGATCTCCCCTATTAGAGCAGTACCGGGCTTGGAGACCTGAGTTTTACACCTGCATCACTGTACATTTTTGCTACATTGGTTTCAGAAGTGGGATGTCTGTATATTTTCAGGGTGTTTTTTTCTCCTATATAGTGTCTTGTCAAAACAGACACAGGATTTCCTCAAAGTATATTGCTCTTCTTCATTTATCTCACATTATGTTCATTGTCTTTGTCCCCAGCTGAAAGAGTTTGCCAACTTTGACTTTGACGTGTGGAGGAAGAAGTACATGCGCTGGATGAACCACAAGAAGTCACGCGTCATGGACTTCTTCAGGCGCATCGACAAGGACCAGGACGGCAAGATCACTCGCCAGGAGTTTATAGATGGCATCCTGGCCTCAAGTATGTTCTTAAGAGCTAGCTACACATCGTTAGCTCTGTTCTTTGCCCATAGCCTGCTCCAACTTAAACTGTAGTCAAGTCCTATATCTTGGTCATGAGTTCTACATCTTGGTGATTAGTCCTACATATCAGTGATTACTCCTACATCTCGGTGATTACTCCTACATCTCGGTGATTACTCCTACATCTTGGTGATTATTCCTACATCTCGGTGATTAGTCCTACATCTTGGTGATTAGTCCTACATATCAGTGATTAGTCCTACATCTCGTTGATCAGTCCTACATCTCGGTGATTAGTCCTACATCTCGGTGATTAGTCCTACATCTCGGTGATTAGTCCTACATCTCGGTGATTAGTCCTACATCTCGGTGATTAGTCCTACATCTCGGTGATTAGTCCTACATCTCAGTGATTTGTCCTATATCTTTTCCTGACTGTTGATTGTGCTGTGCAGAGTTCCCCACCAGCAGGTTGGAGATGACGGCGGTGGCAGACATCTTTGACCAGGACGGAGACGGTTACATCGACTACTACGAGTTTGTGGCGGCTCTGCACCCCAACAAGGACGCCTACCGGCCCACCACTGACGCTGACAAGATAGAAGACGAGGTGAGGAAGACACACACACACACACACACACACACAGATATACCCATATATAATAAATGTCACGCACTTATTTTGAACAACAAAGCTGGACCTTTGACTTGCCTAGTCCAATAGCAGCTCATGAATTGGAGGTTAATGGAGCCAGCCTTGTGATTTTTGTCTCTTTCTCATTGTGTCTTTCTATGCAGGTGACCAGACAGGTGGCACAGTGTAAATGTGCCAAGAGGTTCCAGGTGGAGCAGATAGGAGAGAACAAGTACAGAGTAAGTCCTCCTCAGCCTGTGACTGTATACAGTTAATAAACACATTATTATATATTCTGTCTGCATACTATGACTTAGTATTAGGTATGAGATATTGTATTTTTAAATGCAGATGGGCCAGAGCAATTACAAGGTGAGTTACACCTGAGTCTACAGTGTTTGCTTAGACAGCTTCTACTTAGCTAAATACAGTTTTCAGATGCCACTTGACGGAGTGAATCTTGGTAATGTTAAGAAACATTTGTATTTTTGAAGTTGTTGCGTTTGCGGTCATGGTGGGTCTAGGGTTGCATCTGAAAATGGCACCCTATTCCCTATATAGTGCACTACTTTTGACCATGGTGGACAACTTTTGACCAGGCCCCTGGACAAAAGTAGTGCACTATATATAGGGAATAGGTTGCCATTTTGGATACACCATAGTTTTTGTTAACTGATGATGGGTGTGTGTCACTACTTCTTTGAGCACCAACAACTGCTGGTGTTGAACTAACGAATGACATCACTCCATTCCTCACGCATTTAAATGTTAGCCAATAGCAGTAGCACTCATCTGTATCCATGGAAATGCCAACTTTGTAAGCAAGCTTCTCTAAGCTTTGCCATATACTCATATAACAAGGTGGTCACATATTATTGATAATTACTAAGAAACCCGCGGGCCAAAAAATTGCTTCTCACGGGGCGCATCTGGCCCCTGGGCCGTATGTTTTGCACCCCCATACTCTTTTAACGTATCATATCTCTCTATACATATCTCTAAATCACAGCACTATGGGATTTATATGCTGTGTGTGCTTCCCACCAACAAACTAATATAACCATATTAAATATAACTTAGAAACCATAACATTTATCACAGCTCCAGGATTAGCAACTACTACCATCGCTGTTTTGTGTGAACTACATCATCATTATCCTTGGGTTAATGATATCCAGTGTCTGGCCAAAGACATAAACTAACTGCACCGAGCTTGGGTCACGTTGTCACATGACATCACACCTCTGTCTGTCTGACTCTGTTCTTGTGTATGTTTGTCTGTCTGGCTTCACCCTTCACTGACTTATCCATCTTGCTGTGTCTTTGTGTGGCAGTTTTAGTGGCACTTTAACCACACTATAACAGATAGGAAATAGGATCATCTATAGTATCCACATCATTGAAATTCCACTGCATCCTTCTGCTTTTGCAGGGAAATTTATGGTTGGTTTTAATGGCAAGAAGACAAGTCAAGTAACTACAAAATTAATTGTAACAAGACTTAGTGAAGGAAATACAGTATGTGTACATAGAACATAGGGTAAGCTACAGTTTATTCCTCAATCCAATTGAGGTCTTATCCAATGACAGGTTGAGTCTTAAATATTTGTCTCTACATGTTATTTCACTCTTTCTCTTTTTCTTTCTCTTTGTTTATTCCTCCTCCACGTCTGCTGGATTTTTTGTAGTTCTTCCTTGGAAACCAGGTAAAGTTGACTCGCGTGTTTGGTCCTTTGAAATCTGCTTCCTGGATCTCCACCAGTTAAGTGGCCTCAATTCGACGCCACAAAAAAATGCTGCCATGGTGACAGTGCATTTCATGTTTGACCAATCAAATATAGCACTACACTGTTGGTGCGGATCATGGAAGTGGGTTTCATAGGCCATTGAGGTTGTTCTCTTGGTGTGATTGTGCAGATTTGGAACACTTTTGTTTTGAGAAATACATCAATTTGGCAAACTGGAATGGGTTATAATGGTAACCAGGGGTTACCCGATGCTATTAGTTTTGGACTGGGGCAATTGGAGAAATCATGCTGTTCTGATAGTAATTATAAATTAACCTTGGTCCCTTATCTGTTTGTGCTATCTTGCCAACTCTATGGTCATTGTCACAATGACCATAAATTACCAAAGAGTTGACAAGATAGCACAAACAGACCCAGGCTAATCAAAGGTAGTTCTGACTTGGTATTGCTTCATAGAGTTCTGCTTGCTGGGTGATGGAGCAGTTTACCATTGTTGGGTAAGCTGGGCTTTTGACAAATAGGTGATTTTAGTAGTATCATCAGTGCATGGGTGCTGGAGTATAATTTGCATGGAGTGTACTTTTACTCAGAGTAGTATGGGCTGCTGTGTATAATGGCTTTGGATTCTTAATCTCATGTCAATAACCGTTGTACTTTGTTACTGAATTCCTTTCTGTTTCTCCCTCTGTCCATTTTCTCTCCTCCTCTCCTCTCCATTGCTGTGTTAGTTTGGTGACTCGCAGCAGTTGCGGTTGGTTCGTATCCTGCGCAGTACGGTCATGGTGCGGGTTGGAGGGGGCTGGATGGCCCTGGATGAGTTCCTGGTCAAGAACGATCCCTGCAGAGGTGAGTTGGGTTTATTTATGCACAGACACACGCACATACATACAAACATTACGTACACACACACATACACATACAAATACAGAATGCATGTACACACACAAATACAGAGTACAAAATGCAAGCCACTGGATACACTGCGAGTGGGACAAAAGGTAAATATATGGTACTATGGTCTACTGTTTAAACTAGTCATAGTCGGACATATACATATAACATAGTCGGACATATACACTACCATTCAAAAGTTTGGGGTCACTTAGAAATGTCCTTGTTTTTGTAAGAAAAGCAATTTTTTAGTCCATTAAAATAACATCAAATTGATCCGAAATACAGTGTAGACATTGTTAATGTTGTAAATGGCTATTGTAGCTGGAAACGGCAGATTTTTTTATGGAATATCTAAATAGGCGTACAGCGGCCCATTATCAGCAACCATCAGTCCTGTGTTCCAATGGCACGGTGTGTTTGCTAATCCAAGTTTATCATTTTAAAAGGCTAATTGATCATTAGAAAACCCTTTTGCAATTATGTTAGCACAGCTGAAAACTGTTGTGCTGAATAAAGAAGCAATAAAGCTGGCCTTCTTGAGACTAGTTGAGTATCTGGAGCATCAGCAATTGTGTGTTCGATTACAGGCTCAAAATGGACAGAAACAAATAACTTTATTCTGAAACTCGTCAGTCTATTCTTGTTCTGAGAAATAAAGGCTATTCCATGCGAGAAATTGCCAAGAAACTGAAGATCTCGTACAACGCCGTGTACTACTCCCTTCACAGAACAGCACAAACTGTCTCTAACCAGAATAGAAAGTGGAGTGGGAGGCCCCGGTGCACAACTGAGCAAGAAGACAAATACATTAGAGTGTCTAGTTTGAGAAACAGACGCCTCACAGGTCCTCAACTGGCAGCTTCATTAAATAGTACCCGCAAAACACCAGTCTCAACGTCAACAGTGAAGAGGCGACTCCAGGGTGCTGACCATCTAGGCAGAGTTGCAAAGAAAAAGCCATATCTCAGACTGGCCAATAAAAAGAAAAGATTAAGATGGGCAAAAGAACAGACCCTGGACAGAGGAAGATTGGAAAAAAGTGTTAAGGACAGACGAATCGAAGTTTGAGGTGTTCGGATCACAAAGAATAACATTTGTGAGGCGCAGTCCAAATGAAAAGATGCTGGAGGAGTGCTTGATGCCATCTGTCAAGCATGGTGGAGGCAATGTGATGGTCTGGGGGTGCTGTGGTGGTGGTAAAGGGGATCTTGAAGAGGGAAGGCTTTCACTCCATTTTGCAACGCCATGCCATACCCTGTGGACGGCGCTTGATTGGAGCCAATTTCCTCCTACAACAGGACAATGACCCAAAGCACAGCTACAAACTATGTAATAGCTATTTAGGGAAGAAGCAGTCAGCTGGTATGCTGTCTATAATGGAGTGGCCAGCACAGTCACCGGATCGCAACCCTATTGAGCTGTTGTGGGAGCAGCTTGACCGTATGGTACTTAAGTGCCCATCAAGCCAATCCAACTTGTGGGAGGTGCTTCAGGAAGCATGGGATGAAATCTCTTCAGATTACCTCAACAAATTGACAACTAGAATGCCAAAGGTCTGCAAGGCTGTAATTGCTGCAAATGGAGGATTCTTTGACGAAAGCAAAGTTTGAAGGACACAATTATTATTTCAATTAGAAATCATTATTTCTAACATTGTCAATGACTACATTTCCTATTCATTTTGCTATATTTCCTATTCAAACTCATTTCATGTATGTTTTCATGGAAAACAAGGAAATTTCAAAGTGACCCCAAACTTTTGAACGGTAGTGTACATATAATCTTTCAGGTTTTCAGAGTTCTCTCTTTTCCAAAGCTGTCTACAGTCTGTCTGGTGTGCTCCTCAGAGCAATGTCTCTCTTTCTCTCCATCCATCCATCATCTTTTCTCTTCATCCCTTTCTGTGATAGTTCTTTGAGTCGACGGGCTTGAATCGTCTCCATCTCTTTCCATCTCTCTCCATCTCTCTGTTATGGTTCCTGTTTTTCCATCTCTTCATTCATCTCACCCTTTCTCATTATTTTTCTTCACCTTTGTTTTCTGTGTAAGCGTTCCTTTTTTCTCTCTTTTTCTCCCGCTACACAGTCATTCTTTCAAAGTAGTATTGCATGGTGCATGATCCTCAGTTCTCTTCCTCCCTTACCGTTCCTTTTGCCCTCTCCCTTCTTCCTTCTCTCCTTTTCTCTCTCCTTCCAGTGCAACATCCTGGACTTAAGATCCTTCGCTCCGACTCCAGTAGCACCATTTCATCTCGTATAGGTTGGGTTTCTCTCTCGCTCTCGTTCCCACTTTTCTCCCTCCGCCTCTTTTCTGTTCTCTCTCTCTCACTCCCTCTTGGTTGTTTTTTGGTTTGGGCTTGTTGCTGTGCTTTGCTGACTGTGACACTGAACTAACGTTCCTACCCTTTCTGGCTACATGCTAATGCTAGCACGAGGGGACCATATCACAGGTTATAGGTCCAAGTCATTGACCTGTGTCTTTGTTTTGTTTTAAAGTTGTTTTAGCCACTTGTCACTTTGGTCCCTGATGTGTCCACCCCTCAACCTTTGGGACTTATCTGTATTTTTTACTCCCTTTGCCACGGTCTTCTGTGTCCACCTCTGTGTTGAAGTGAGAGAGGGAAGCGTGTTGGTGACTCGCAGCTGGGACTGCGTGTTGGTGTGTGTGTGTGTGTGTGTGTGTGCGAGAGAGATTGCTAAGTATAAGGAATGTGTGTGTCTATGTATTTCCATCTCACCGTGAGCACGCCACTATTTCACGTTGTCTCTTGTGTCTCTCAGTGACGGTCACTCCTGGCTATTTCTGCTGCAGAGGTACCTACACTCCCACTCTCTTCCATTGCTCCACTGTCCATCCCTCCATCTCTCCCATTCTGTAAATCCAACCATCCATCTATCCATCCAGCTCGAAATCTCTCATTCTAACTGCTATGTCCTTGTGTTTGTGTCTGTTTGAGCATATGTATGTGTATACATGTCTTGTCTGTGTTGCCAGTCCGCATCATGCTTCCCACTCAAAAACTGGGTTTGGCCAGCCCTGGTCTTGGTGGTGATGGTTGCCATGTGGATCCAAAATGGCCGCACAGTTTGACGGGCCAGTCTCATAAAAAACAGAGACCGTCTAAGACCTGGGTGTGGCCAGCCTGGTTTTCTAATAGCGCTTGTAGCGGCTCTTTAAATATGATGGCGGGCGGGCACTGAATTAAAGGGTGCACCTGGCTCGCTGGGGGACCGTAATTGCAGGGCGCGCACCCATTATTATTGACTGGTCTTGTTGCTGTTGCTAGTGGATGACTGTGAGGGGGTGTGTCCCGTCTTGGGTAAAGCTACTAACCACGGCTACAGTGCCCTGCTGCTAATGCTAGCTGCAGCTCTCTCATCCCTCTCTTTCTCTCTTTCTTTTTCTCCCTCTCTCCCTTTCTCTTTCTCTTTGTCCCTTTCCTCCCTCTCTTTCCCTCCCTCTTTCTCACTGTGGCTGGCTTTTCTGGGCTTGAGTGTTATGTGCTGGGACTGCTGCACCATCTTGTCTAAGAATGCTTATATGAGTGTCTATGGGAGGGGAGTCCCCCATGGTACTGTATTGGGGCTCCCCCAAAAGCATAACCAGGCATGCCCCACATATTTCGCACCGAACGCACTGTTTATGAATTAGGGAAAGAATAAAGGAGTCAACAGAGCGACTCCCTCACAGTGAGAGAAGAGAGGCTGTGCTTTGGCTTACAGGAATACCTCTGTGTTCTAGCTATATAACCATATATATAATAGTATAAACCAGTATGAAAATGTATGCGCTCACTACTGTAAGTCGCTTTGGATAAGAGCGTCTGCTAAATGACTCAAATGTAAATGTAGTTGTTCTAATAGTTTGGCTATAGCAATAAAAGTGTACTATTAAAGTCCTTTCTTGCTGAACATCTTTCTCTCTAACAGTTCCTCTGCACTGTCACAAACACTACACACTCACTCCCTCCTCCACTTAAAAGTACCCCAGCCAGAAGTGCACTTCACTGCCTCTGATTCCCAACCCTCCCCTCGCCCCACTCTACTCAGCACTGACTCGACCACACGTTGCACTGACTCTGAGAGCAGTGACTCGCCGGGGAAGCTCTGACTCTCTGCCTCGCACTGCTCGCTGCCTCGATACGTACTGCAGCCATTGTTGACTGAACTTGACCATTTCTTTGTCTTTCTCTCCCCTCTCTCTCTCTCTTTCTCTTTCTCTCCTCTTCTTCCCTCACTCCAGCCCGAGGCCGTACCAACCTGGAGCTGCGTGAGAAGTTCATCCTTCCAGAGGGGGCTTCCCAGGGCCTGGCGGCCTTCCGCTCCCGGGGCCGGCGCTCCAAACCCGGGTCCCGCACGGCCTCGCCCACCCGCTCCTCCTCCTCGGCCTCGCACAGCGCACACAGCTGCGCATCCCTGCCCTCTGCTCCCGCCACCCCCACTGCCTCCTCTAGGGTAAGTGCCCTCAACCCCATTCTCCCCCAAGAAATACAATTACTAGAACGGGAAAAGCTCCTCAGACCATGACAACTTGACAGAACCGGTGTACTCATCATGGGTAGACCCAATATGGTATTGTGTTCTATGGGAGCTAGGTGATAGAGCTATATCGCCCTTAAAGGGGAATTTCCTTGCTCTCTTCACGTCATATGGCGGTTACCATGTTAGTTATAGTAGAACTCTTGTCACAAAGATCGGTAGTGTCTTTAATATAGGCTGAGCAATTACACAAGCTACATGGTGTCTCTCTTTAAGTGTTCCTAATGGAAACAGAGACTAAAATGGAACCTGCAAGCGCACACTACACATATGCAAAACAATACTACAAGACATTTTCACAAACTAAAGTCAGTCATTGTCACATCAGTCACATGTCAGAGTTTTTGTTGTCACCATGCCTTGTTGTTAATCTCGGTGGCCCATCTCTCACCCACTTTCACAGTGGTTGTTGTCACAGTGATTCGTCATTTCATTAATGTGTTGTCTCTGTGTCTTACACTCAAAGGTCGAGTTTTGATTTTTTAAGTTCAGATGAAACACATCTCTCCGGCCTTTCTCCTGTATACCACTGAATCCTAAACACTAGACAATTATGTTTCGTATTACTTAGTGTAGCACCACTGGTCATATATTCAATCAGTCAGGTTACTGTAGTCTAGGTCAAAATGGAAAAGTATTCAGACCCCTTGACTTTTTCCACATCTTGTTATGTTACAGCCTCAATCTACACACAATATCTCATAATGAATGCTAATTTATTAAAAATAAAAAACTGAAATCACATTTACATAAGTATTCAGACCCTTTACTCAGTATTTTGTTGAAGCACCTTTGGCAGCGATTACTTCGTTGAGTCTTCTTGGGTATGATGCTACAAGCTTGGCACACGTGTATTTGGGGAGTTTCTTCCCATTCGTCTCTGCAGATCCTCTCAAGCTCTGTCAGGTTGGATTGGGAGCACAGCTATTTTCAGGTCTCTCCAGAGATGTTCGATCAGGTTCAAGGCTGGGTTCTGGCTTGGCAACTCAAGGACATTCAGAGACTTGCCCCGAAGCCACTCCTGCATTGTCTTGGCTGTGTGCTTAGGGTCATTGTCCTGTTGGAAGGTGAACCGCCCCAGTCTGAGGTCCTGAGTGCTCTGGAGCAGGTTTTCATCAAGGATCTCGCTGTACTTTGCTCCATTCATTTTTGCCTCGATCCTGCCTAGTCTCCCAGTCCCTGCCGCTGAAAGAAAATCCCCACATCATGATGCTGCCACCACCATGCTTCACCGTAGGGATGGTGCCAGGTTTCCTCCAGACGTGACGCTTGGCATTCAGGCCGAAGAGTTCAATCTTGGTTTCATCAGACCAGAGAATCTTGTTTCTCATGGCCTGAGAGTCTTTAGGTGCCTTTTGGCAAACTCCAAGTAGGCTGTCATGTGCCTTGTACTGAGGAGTGGCTTCCGTCTGGCCACTCTACCATAAAGGCCTGATTGGTGGAGTGTTGCAGAGATGGTTGTCCTTCTGGAAGGTTCTCCACAGAGGAACTCTAGAGCTCTGTCAGAGTGACCATCAGGTTTTTGGTCACCTCCCTGACCAAGGCCCTTCTCCCCCGATTACTCAGTTTGGCCGGGCGGCCAGCTCTAGGAAGAGTCTTGGTGGTTCCAAACTTCTTCCATTTAAGAATGATGGAGGCCACTGTGTTCTTGGGGACCTTAAATGCTGCAGAAATGTTTTGGTACCGTTCCACAGATCTGTGCCTCGACACAATCCGTCCCCGAGCTCTACGGCAATTCCTTCGACCTCATGGCTTGGTTTTTGCTCTGACGTACTGTCAACTGTGGGACCTTATATAGACAGGTGTGTGCCTTTCCAAATCATGTCCAATCAATTGAATTTACCACAGGTGGACTCCAATCAAGTTGTAGAAACATCTCAAGGATGTTCAATGGAAACAGGATGCACCTGAGCTCAATTTCGAGTCTCATAGCAAAGGGTCTGAATACTTACTGTACGTAAATAAGGTATTTCTGTTTTATAAAAACCTGTTTTTGCTTTGTCATTATTGGGTATTGTGTGGAGATTGCTGAGGATTCTGTTTTATTTAATCAATTTTAGAATAAGTCTGTAACGTAACGTAAAATGTGGAAAAAGTCAAGGGGTCTGAATACTTTCCGAAGGCACTGTATGTCTCTAATTAGTATAACAGTCCAGTCAAGGTGCATACTATCTAAAGACAATTATTCAGCCAGTCTTGGAGGACAAAGCATGAAGCCATATTACCAGAGTACCCATAATCATCTGTTTTGTTGTCACTGATCGTTAGTTGTGTAGTCTCTGTTTATCGTGTGATTTATGTATCGTGTATGTGTGTCTGTGTTGAAATGATAATTCCCCTGTTTCTGCATGTCAACAACAATCACCTACGTCCTTAACTGTGAGATTTGTATTTGTTGTTCTTTGTTTTGGTCTTTTTCTTTTGTCTCCTAAATTCCTCCATCCACCCCCTGCTAACCTCGCTTGAAAAATGTACTCCCTCCACTGTTTTTTAAAATCCATCCGCTGTCGCACCAAAAACACACTGCGCTACACGACCTTCCTCCCCTCCTCCCCCTTCCTCCCTTCCTCCCCTCCTCTCCCTTCCTCCCTTCCTCCCCTCCTCCCTTCCTCCCCTCCTCCCTTCCTCCCTTCCTCCCCTCCTCCCCCTTCCTCCCCTCCTCCCTTCCTCCCCTCCTCCCTTCCTCCATTCCTCTCCCATCCTCCCTTCCTCCCCTCCTCGCCACCTCCCTTCCTCCCCTCCTCCCTTCCTCCCTTTCCCTATTTTCCTTTGTGCTACTTTCCTGCTTCTCCCCCTTTTTTATTCTCCTTGGCTGCCTTCTTCCCTCCCTCCTTCCCTTTGCTGATCCCAGTCCTCAAACTCGCGTGGCTATGCCAAGCCCTGGCTGGCACACAGTAAAACTCCAACGCCAACCAAGTGCCAGTCCTGCCCAGACCATGGCCACACCACCCCTGGGCATGAGGTAACACACTGACCCCCACCCCCCCCCATCCTGCCGCCCCTCCCAAGCCCCAGCAAACTAATAACGCACTAACTCACACACACAATCACTCACTTACGGGTGGCCATACACACTGCATAGTGCACAATGTGCAATTGGGACCATGAGGATATAGGAGACGTGACGTTGAAATTCAGCTTTAAGACTGAATATATTTGCATCATATCTTGTTTCACTGTTTTTGCTCAATATCCCAATCTAAATTATTATTAGGTGCATTGTCACAATATTTTTGCCCACCGGCAAGAAGCGGCTGGTGGTAGGTCAATAGGAATAGATTCAAAGTGATGTCCTCTTAAAGGAGAAGTAGTGAGAAATGAATCATTATTAGCTAACTCTATATGCGTTGTGTTGAACTGGTAGTTCTAGGGATTTAGTTTGGTAGACTGATGATCATTTTGCAAGTGGTGTCTCTGTTGTATTATGTTAGTATGGGATGATGCTTAAAAGTAGTAACCGCTCCTTTAGTTAAAGGTAGATGCAGCAATATGACATACACAACAGGGCAACATCCTGCCTACAAACATCAACAACAACAAAATTCAAATTCACTGTTGACTTCCCAATGTCGGCATGCCTCAAGACTCAAATTGGGAAGAGCCAGTAGAGTGGCGGCCTTGGCAGATTTGTACTCTGTTTGGTTGATGTGGGTAACGAGGAAGTCATCCCCGTTGTGTATGATGATGTCATATTGTGGAGTCTACCTTTTTAAAGGCCCAGTGCAGTCAAAATTGTGATTTTCCTGTGTTTTATATATATTGCCACTGGTTGGAAAACTGTTCAATTGTGAAAATGATGATAATGCCCTTTTAGTGTAAGACCTGTTTGAAAAGACCGCCTGAAATGTCTGCCTGTTTTGGTGGGAGGGAGTTTTGGCCTTCCATGGCGACAGCACCATGCGGTAAATTAGTTAATAGACCAAAAGAGTTCCAAACCTCTGCCAATAATAGCTACTTTTCAGTCTTCCCTCCCTGCTCCCAGACAGTCCTAGCAAAATTCTTGCTTGAGAAATTACTCTTTGCTAAGAAGCTACTTTTGTTTATTTTTGACCATTTTAATTGAAAACAATCACAGTAAGGTACTTAGAGTCATTTCTGGGTAACAACTATATTGAGATAAAATCGGCTGCATTGAACCTTTTAATGTATTCTGTGCCACAGTTTGCCACTGTTTGACATTCCCTGTGTCTGATATATATAGGGGGCAGTGTCGGGGTCCAAGCTGAAGAGGCCCACCTTCCACTCCAGCCGAGGCTCTCTGACTGGAGAGAATGGAGGAGCTACACCCATTGCTACTAAACCTGGACGTACCGGTAAGAACTAAGTCCAGATTTTTCATACCAGTTTTGATTTCTATTTTCAGTCCTCTGTTTTTGTTCTCTTGGAACATATAATTCCCATAATTAAAATGAGACTAAATATATATATTTTCTCTATTCTTTTTCTATCCCACATCACCTACCCTTACCCTCCTCCTTCCTCCCTGTTTCCTCCCTCTCTCCTCTTCTCCTCCTCTCAGACCCCAAGCGTACCCCATCGGGGGCCAGTGGTCCGGCCAGCCGGGCGGGCAGCAGAGCGGGCAGCAGGGCCAGCAGCCGGCGAGGCAGCGACGCTTCGGACGCCTCAGAGCTCCTGGAGACTCGCTCGGCCTGCTCGGACACCTCGGACACCCCCCGGCGCACAGGAGCTGCCAAGCCCTCCAAGATCCCTACCATCTCCAAGAAGGCCCCAAGCCCCAAGACACCCACTTCTGGGAAGAAATAGTGAAGGAGATGTCAAAAAGACGTCATAAAAATGTCATACATCCAACCATGGAGTCGTCAACATAAAAGCATCATACATCTAACTATAGGGCTGGTTTGACTCCAAGGGCTCAGCCCCCAAAACACCAGCCATGATGAAATGGGGAAGAAGATGTCCATACTATAGAATTAGATCAAGTAGAACGGACCGTCTCCCTTTCAAAGAGACGCTCTATAGTGAACAGACTACTGCCGGCCATATTGGGTGTCACATTTGATCCAAACGTCCATCCATAGGGCTTGCATGGGATTCATGCACCAAGACTACTGTATGAAGGGCAGAGAGAGAGGGATAGATTGGGGAAGATATCTATTTCTCTCTTTTCCTCCCTCGTACACACACTCACTGGGGGCCTCGAGGCCCGGGTTCGTGCACTTAGACTGAGGTGAAACGGAACAGAACTTTCCCCTTTTAAAACCCAGATCCCAGTTTGCCTTCCAGTCTCCTGTGTGCTCTCTCTCGTAACGGGATTGTGCTAGACTGTTGTAGAGAAAGCCACAGCAGTTTGAACCGACAACCAACCAACATGATGCTGCCTTACTGTGTTACACATTTCTGTCCTTACTTTTACCTAATCTGAGTTCTGCAGAGTGTTAGGTAGAGCCTTGTAACTACTTTGTGTATGTATACACTGACACACACGGAACTGAAACACACACTGAGGGGAGAGATGAAATGACTCAGAACTTCCTGGAGAATGGTATTCAGATAAACTGGATTGTGGGTATTGTGGACATTTTCTCTCACCATGAGTTCAACTGAAAATATGCAATGATTGCCGTCTTGTTTTTTCCTCCCCTGGACTGGGAAGTGAATAGGAATGACACTTCAGCATGTCTGTGGGTCGGGAACATCCAGACTAGCGTGGATCTACTGTTCAGTGTCTGGGTGGCGCCACTCTGACCACTTCCTGCATTGAGCTAACTGCCTAAACCTCAAGCCCAGGAGACTGTGGAAGTGGTGGGAAACACACATACACTGCAATGTCCTCACAAACCACTGAAACATTGGAAGTGTGTTTGAAGGTGTGTATGTGAATCTGTGTTTGATGGAATGGATGATTTCTCACGTTGTCCTATAATATGAAACTACTTACCCTGTGTTTCTGAGAAAAAAGCACTAAAATTGAGACTTTCTTGGTGGGACCCCACTAACAGCAAAAACGTGACAGTGTGTAACAATCAAGTGGCTTGTAAGGACACACACAATTTAAGCGACTCTTATTCCAGATTAGAGATTGAAGACCAGCGCACACTGACAGTGTATCGCTGTAATTCCACTTCGCCCCTCCCCCCTCCGTTGCCGCTGGAAACCCCAGAGCTGCAAACACACATTTTTGTATACGTGTGTCGTCGTCACGTGTTACAGAAATCAAAGGTCATCGACTTGCTTCACTGTATGCAAAGATTTAATTTCATTCTGGTTAATTTAAAATCCTGTTGTATTTGTTTTTGTTTTGCTTTTGTAGTTTAAGAAAAACATGTATATTTATTTTTCAATTCTGTATCATATCACCTTGGAGAATGATTAGTATTCATATAATGAAATCATGATATTTTGTACCAAGGAAAATGTCTGCTCCTCTTCAATGTTGTATGTTTCTACTTCTTCATAACTTTACTCAACTAGGAAGCTGACTGATTTCCATGGGAGCCTTTTTTGCTAATGACTACAACTCCCAGAACATGACCAAAGGGGGTGGCCCTTATTGTGTTGACAAATATGGATGACAGGGAACTGAACCCCCAGTGTTCCTCCTTACAGGCATTTGAATTGTCATGTCTTTGATGGCTGCAAATGTGCTCCCCTGTTTCTTGATGTGAGAGCTGAAGTATATGAAAACCTAATGAAGGCAAATGACATCTAAAGGTGATTTTTATTTATTTATTGTCTCTTTTGGGGGTGGGGATTTGGGCGCAGGAGAGGAACCCACCTTTTGATGCGGTGTTATTCTCAGTGTGATGAAGAGAAAATATGGGGGGGGGGTCAATTGTGTAAAATAAAAAAGCTAAGATTATAAACGTTTTTTTGTTCTCTTTTTGTATTAAAAATATGCTTGCAGTAAAAAAGTCATTTGTCATTGTGGATTGATTTTTCATTTCATTCAGGGGCAAAAGTGTATGTGCGTTTACATACAGTGCCTTCAGAAAGTATTCACAACCCTTGACTTTTTCCAAAATGTTTTGTGTTGCAGCCCGAATTTAAAATTGATTAAATTGAGATTTCGGGTCACTGGCCTACACACAATACCCATAATGTCAAAGTGGAATTATGTTCTTAGAAACGTTTACAAATGAAAAGCTGAAATGTCTTGTCAATAAGTATTCAACCCCTTTCTTATGGCAAGTCTAAGTTCAGGAGGAAAAATGTGCTTAACAAGTCACAAGTTGCATGGACTCACTCTGTGTGCAATAATAGTGTTTAACGTGATTTTTGAATGACTACCTCATCTCTGTACCCCACACATACAATTATCTTTAAGGTCCCTCAGTTGAGCAGTGAATTTCAAACACCGATTCAACCACGAAGACCAGGGAGGTTTTCCAATGCCTCGCAGAGAAGGGCACCTATTAGTAGATGGGTTAAAGAATAAGCAGACATTGAATATCAAATCAAATCAAATCAAATTGTATTGGTCACATGCGCCGAATACAACAGGTGCAGACATTACAGTGAAATGCTTACTTACAGCCCTTAACCAACAGTGCATTTATTTTAAACATAAGAATAAAACAACAACAAAAAAGTGTTGAGAAAAAAAGAGCAGAAGTAAAATAAAGTGACAGTAGGGAGGCTATATATACAGTAAAATAAAGTGACAGTAGGGAGGCTATATATACAGGGGGGTACCGTTGCATAGTCAATGTGCGGGGGCACCGGCTAGTTGAGGTAGTTGAGGTAATATGTACATGTGGGTAGAGTTAAAGTGACTATGCATAAATACTTAACAGAGTAGCAGCAGCGTAAAAAGGATGGGGTGGGGGGGCAGTGCAAATATTCCGGGTAGCCATGATTAGCTGTTCAGGAGTCTTATGGCTCGGGGGTAAAAGCTGTTGAGAAGTCTTTTGGACCTAGACTTGGCACTCCGGTACCGCTTGCCGTGTGGTAGCAGAGAGAACAGTCTATGACTAGGGTGGCTGGAGTCTTTGACAATTTTGAGGGCCTTCCTCTGACACCGCCTGGTATAGAGGTCCTGGATGGCAGGGAGCTTTGCCCCAGTGATGTACTGGGCCGTACGCACTACCCTCTGTAGTGCCTTGCGGTCAGAGGCCAAGCAGTTGCCATACCAGGCGGTGATGCAACCAGTCAGGATGCTCTCGATGGTGCAGCTGTAGAATTTTTTGAGGATCTGAGGACCCATGCCAAATCTTTTTAGTCTCCTGATATCTATTTGAGCATGGTGAAGTAATTAAGTACACTTTGGATGGTGTATCAATACACCCAGTCACTATAAAGATACAAGCGTCCTCCCCAACTCCGTTGCCGGAAAGGAAGGAAATCGCTCAGGGATTTCACATGAGGCCAATGGTGACTTAAAACAGAGTTTTTAATGGCTGTGATGGGAGAAAACTGAGGATGGATCAACAACATTGTAGTTACTCCACAATACTAACCTAAATGACAGTGAATAGAAGGAAGCCTGTACAGAATAAAACACATTTCAAAATATGCATCCTGTTAACTTTACACTGTGTACAAAACATTTAAGGACACTAATCTAATATTGAGTTGCACATTTATTTGCCCTGAAGTGTTTTTTAGACTTATTTGCTTAATTGTTTACAAAAAATTAGTGAATGTGCTAGAAAGCTAAACCGCTACCTAGCTAGCTATTTGAATGCAGTGGCTTGCCAAAAAGGACTCGTTTTGAAAGTTGGATCATCCTTTGAGGCTTTAAAAGTGTTCTTACAATATGATTTTGAACATTCAAAGCAACTGGGAAATGACAGGACCTTAGCTAGCTACATAACTTCTGAGTGATAGGAATCACGAGCACCAACAGCAATCCGCTTACACCCCTGCGCACACATCCGTCATTACTATGACAACTAGCATAGCAATGTCAGCAAATTACTGCTGTCTGAACACACACACATCCGATTTGGTCACTTGTAACTTTTGGACAGTCAGTATTCCAAAACGGATTTAAAAAACAAAACTGATTGGAGCATTAAGGTCTGCAGTGTGAACAAGGCTATAGGGATCATAGCTTTCACCTGGATTCACCTGGTCAGTCTATGTCATGGAAAGAGCAGGTGTCCTTAATGTTTTGTACACTCATTGTATGTCCTGAATACAAAGCGATATGTTTGGGACAAATCCAACACAAAATATTATGGTTCAACTCAAATATACTAGTTGATAAAAAAAAAAAAAAAAGGATAATCTTTGTAAAATATATCATAATTAGGACTGGTGGAGTTATGTCACACATGCAGCTAACAAAAATATATGGAAATGTCTGCTCTACTCAAAATTACAACCAAATTATTCCAGCATTACCGTAAAAAAGGAAGAGGAAAGTGGAAGGGGAGAAAGTAAGGAACTTGTCTGTTGGCCCTGCATTAAAGACCCAAATTGGCAAAAGAAAATTATGATAAATAAAAAAGTATATCAGTTTCATTTAAGGACAAAAAAATGGACAGCTGTGCCATATAGATTGCAAAATAGATGGGAAGAGATTTTCAATGTACTGATTCCATGGCACATGGTTTATGAACTGATACACAAAACAGTGGATTCAAAACATAATTGTTTTTCAATTTAAATTATTAAACAAAATTCTTGCAACCAATAGAATGTTATATACAGTGCATTCGGAAAGTATTCAGACCCCTAGACATTTTCCACATTTTGTGAAGTTACAGGCTTATTCTAAAATTGATTAAATTATTAGTTTTCCTCATCAATCTACACACAATACCCCATAATGACAAAGCGAAAACAGGTGTTTAGCCATT